CCTCACCTTTCACCGTGGGGTACATGCTCTTGCTTGCCTGAAGGAGAACCCAGGAGTTGTATGTGTGGTTTCATTCCTGAACAAGAACAAAAACACCCAAAGTCAGGCCAGGCCGGAGCCCAGGGCCAGCTCAGACAGACGCCACTGCCGCATGCAGAGAACCCTGGCCCAAGCCCTGAACCTGTGAGATGGGGACTTGATCTCATTGCCGTCACCATAAGGGAGCACGGGCGGGAGGAGGATGGGGAGCCGCATGCCAGCCTCAGCCACAGAATGCCAGCAGCACCAGCCAGGCTGTCCCGCGTCTCCTGTAGACCGAGACCCCAGTTCTAGTCAGGACAGGGGAGAGTCCTCGTGTGAGACCCCAGTTCTAGTCAGGACAGGGGAGAGTCCTGGTGTGAGACCCCAGTTCTAGTCAGGACAGAGGAGAGTCCTCGTGTGAGACCCCAGTTCTAGTCAGGACAGGGGAGAGTCCTGGTGTGAGACCCCAGTTCTAGTCAGGACAGAGGAGAGTCCTCGTGTGAGACCCCAGTTCTAGTCAGGACAGAGGGGAGAGTCCTGGTGTGAGACCCCAGTTCTAGTCAGGACAGGGGAGAGTCCTCGTGTGAGACCCCAGTTCTAGTCAGGACAGGGGAGAGTCCTCGTGTGAGACCCCAGTTCTAGTCAGGACAGAGGGGAGAGTCCTGGTGTGAGACCCCAGTTCTAGTCAGGACAGAGGGGAGAGTCCTGGTGTGAGACCCCAGTTCTAGTCAGGACAGGGGAGAGTCCTGGTGTGAGACCCCAGTTCTAGTCAGGACAGGGGAGAGTCCTCGTGTGAGACCCCAGTTCTAGTCAGGACAGGGGAGAGTCCTGGTGTGAGACCCCAGTTCTAGTCAGGACAGAGGAGAGTCCTCGTGTGAGACCCCAGTTCTAGTCAGGACAGGGGAGAGTCCTCGTGTGAGACCCCAGTTCTAGTCAGGACAGGGGAGAGTCCTCGTGTGAGACCCCAGTTCTAGTCAGGACAGGGGAGAGTCCTCGTGTGAGACCCCAGTTCTAGTCAGGACAGAGGGGAGAGTCCTCGTGTGAGACCCCAGTTCTAGTCAGGACAGAGGGGAGAATCCTCGTGTGAGACCCCAGTTCTAGTCAGGACAGAGGAGAGTCCTCGTGTGAGACCCCAGTTCTAGTCAGGACAGAGGAGAGTCCTGGTGTGAGACCCCAGTTCTAGTCAGGACAGAGGAGAGTCCTCGTGTGAGACCCCAGTTCTAGTCAGGACAGGGGAGAGTCCTGGTGTGAGACCCCAGTTCTAGTCAGGACAGAGGAGAGTCCTCGTGTGAGACCCCAGCTCTAGTCAGGACAGGGGAGAGTCCTCGTGTGAGACCCCAGTTCTAGTCAGGACAGGGGAGAGTCCTGGTGTGAGACCCCAGCTCTAGTCAGGACAGGGGAGAGTCCTCGTGTGAGACCCCAGTTCTAGTCAGGACAGGGGAGAGTCCTCGTGTGAGACCCCAGTTCTAGTCAGGACAGAGGGGAGAGTCCTGGTGTGAGACCCCAGTTCTAGTCAGGACAGGGGAGAGTCCTCGTGTGAGACCCCAGTTCTAGTCAGGACAGGGGAGAGTCCTGGTGTGAGACCCCAGTTCTAGTCAGGACAGGGGAGAGTCCTCGTGTGAGACCCCAGTTCTAGTCAGGACAGGGGAGAGTCCTCGTGTGAGACCCCAGTTCTAGTCAGGACAGAGGGGAAAGTCCTCGTGTGAGACCCCAGTTCTAGTCAGGACAGAGGAGAGTCCTCGTGTGAGACCCCAGTTCTAGTCAGGACAGAGGAGAGTCCTCGTGTGAGACCCCAGTTCTAGTCAGGACAGGGGAGAGTCCTGGTGTGAGACCCCAGTTCTAGTCAGGACAGGGGAGAGTCCTCGTGTGAGACCCCAGTTCTAGTCAGGATAGAGGAGAGAATCCTCGTGTGAGACCCCAGTTCTAGTCAGGACAGAGGGGAGAGTCCTCGTGTGAGACCCCAGTTCTAGTCAGGACAGAGGAGAGTCCTGGTGTGAGACCCCAGTTCTAGTCAGGACAGGGGAGAGTCCTCGTGTGAGACCCCAGTTCTAGTCAGGACAGGGGAGAGTCCTCGTGTGAGACCCCAGTTCTAGTCAGGACAGAGGAGAGTCCTCGTGTGAGACCCCAGTTCTAGTCAGGACAGGGGAGAGTCCTCGTGTGAGACCCCAGTTCTAGTCAGGACAGAGGAGAGTCCTCGTGTGAGACCCCAGTTCTAGTCAGGACAGAGGGGAGAGTCCTCGTGTGAGACCCCAGTTCTAGTCAGGACAGAGGAGAGTCCTCGTGTGAGACCCCAGCTCTAGTCAGGACAGGGGAGAGTCCTGGTGTGAGACCCCAGTTCTAGTCAGGACAGAGGAGAGTCCTGGTGTGAGACCCCAGTTCTAGTCAGGACAGGGGAGAGTCCTGGTGTGAGACCCCAGTTCTAGTCAGGACAGGGGAGAGTCCTGGTGTGAGACCCCAGCTCCAGCAGCACTGTGGCCCTCTCTGTAGTCTACTTGGATGGGTGCGTCTCAGCTTCTAAATCCCAGCGGCCGTGAGGATCTACTAGGAGAGGAGGGGATTTGGTGGCAACGGTAGGACAGATAGCATCGCACTGAGCACCTAGGTGGGTGTTGGGAAGCTGTGGGCTTGAGTCCCGAGTGCGCTCAGGAGAACAGGGGAGAGGTCCAGCACGGGGGCACAGACTGAGCTGGGAGGGGCTCTGCGCTGTGCCTGGGCCTCACAGCGGGGAGATCAGTCCCGCAGACTTGGGGACCCCTCGCCACTGTCCCCAGCTTTAAATCGCCTTGTCTCCATCCGGCTTCACATCTCCACAACGGTTTCCTTTGCCCCCTCCCCACGACTGCCAAAGCCTAGGAGCTCCAATCTGGGCCTCCTGACCTAGTCCAGTCTGTGTTTCCAGGGGTTAAGTAGAGGTCTGGGGTGGCCGCAACCAGGGAAGTGCCCACCCTTGTCCATCCTGCTATGGCTGGGGCACAGGCACATCCCAGATCCCTTTGTTATGGAGAGGCCGTGGCCGCAGGAAAGTCCATCGCTGTAACCAAGTCCACTCTTGACAAGGTCCTTTCTAGGCAGTGGTTCTGAATCTTCCTCAGCTGTGACCCTGTAACACAGTTCCTCAGATTGTGGTGACCCCCAGCTGTAGAAATTGTTTTCACTGCTGCCTCATAACTGTAATTTTGCTGCTGTTACAAATCAACGTAGAATCTGGTTTGCAAGATCGTCTCGAGTGACCCCTTTGAATCAGTTGACCACACAAGGGTCGGGAACCACTCGTTCTCCCCGCTGCCTCATAGCATTCCACCCCACACCTTACCCCTGCCCCTGGGACTCTGGTCGGGTCAAAGCCATCTTTGTCTGTCATGCCCTGGCTTCTAAAGGGCGAAGAATCCTGGAGAATCCTCTCCCTCCCCCTCCACCTACCTCCTGCTGACAGTTGTGATACCCAGATATTAATGAACTGGGTTTATAAGAACTGGGTTTATAAGATGCCTCCAGACATCAGGGGCTTTGTTCTTGCTGTTGTTTTGTTTGGGGAGTCGTCTGTCTATCTGTCTGTCTGTCTGTCTCTCTGTCTGTCTCTCTGTCTGTCTCTCTGTCTGTCTGTGTACTAGAGGCTGAGCCTAAGGCGTCCTTACCCGGCCAGGCTCTATTCACTTTCTCAAGTTTTATTTTGGCAAAGTCTCACTAACATGCCCAGGCGAGCCTTGAACTCATTGTGTTTTCCAGGCAGCCCTCGAATTTGCAGTCCCTCTGCCTGAGCCTCGGGAACAGCTGTGCAAAGGAGGTTTTTAATAGTGAGAGACAGTTGTAACGTGTAGTCTTCCTGCCCGCCGCCTGGTTCCTGTTGCTGCTCTCAGCTCCCAAATAACACACAAGACACTATATTAAATATGAAGCTGTTGGCCGTTTGCTTGGTTTCTTATAGACTAGCTCTGATTTGATTATCAACCCATAATTGCTAATACATATATATACATATACGTACAATATATATATTGTAGGAACTTATCTTTTTGAGGACGCACTGCTCCCGGGAGAGGGCATATTGAGAGCTCTCCTCACTACAATTCCCAGAATCCTCCTAGACACCTAGTCCCACCTATCTTGTTTCCCTATTGGCCAATAGTGCTTTATTCAAACCAATCAGACACATATTTACAGAACTGACAGTGATGGGAATAGCTGAGGGTGCTGAGCTGATAAGGTGTGTTCTGTCAGTATTTTACCCTGTAGCTCCTGCAGGAATTTGAACACTGTGTTACCTGAGGCTGGAGAGATGGCGCCGTGATTAAGAGCAATGACTGCTCTTCCAGGGGACCCAGCACCCACATGGCAGCTCACAACTGTGTGTAACCCTGGTCTAGGGGAGATGTGACGCCCTCTTCTGGCCTTCATGGCACAAGGCCTGTTCAGACACACGTGCACACAAAACACCCTGCACACGGTGCACACACACACACGTGCACATAAAACATCCTGCACACGGTGCACACACACGTGCACACAAAACACCCTGCACACGGTGCACACACACGTGCACATAAAACACCCTGTAAACAGTGCACACACACACATGCACACAAAATACCCTGCACACGGTGCACACACACACACATACACGTGCACACAAAACACCCTGCACACGGTGCACACACACGTGCACACAAAACACCCTGCACATGATGCACATACACACGTGCACACAAAACACCCTGCACATGATGCACACACACACGTGCACACAAAGCACCCTGCACATGGTGCACACACACACACACACACACACACACACGCATACAAAGCACCCTGCACATAACATGCATCTTTAAAAATACCGTATTTCACAAAGTGACCAACTTGGAGCAGGAGAGAGGACCAGGTCCCTGTCCCTGTAGTCTCCTGCGTGTTCGTTCATCCCTCATCCCATTGCTTACTGCCCCGTGGTTTATGGCTCAGTGAACACACGGATTGTCTTTTAGGACATCAACTTGCGAGTGAAGTGGCCCAACGATATTTATTACGGTGACCTCATGAAGATTGGTGGAGTTCTGGTTAATTCCACTCTCATGGGAGAAATGTTCTACATCCTCATTGGTGAGTTCTTAAAGCCCCCTCCTCCAACACTTTTCATATTAACAAGACAACAGGATTAGGACGTCTTATGCGTGCCTCTACCTGGAAGAGCGGGTAGCTTTATGAGATGATGTCTTTAGTCTTAAGTTATAGAGTGTGACGTAGATCCAGAGAGGACCAGATGAGTCAAGAACACTTCAAAGGCTTGGCAGTGCCTGTGTGGGGCTGTGGAAATGCCATGGCGTCTGTCACACCTCACGGATGTCTTTCCATGGGTCTGCTTCCCATGTAAAAAGCATATTTTACAATGATTATATTTTATGCTAAGCAGTAAGCTAATGTCTGCCATGGTTAACTTAATTATCAACTTGATGCAATGTGGAGCCGGCTGGAAAGGGGTCTGGATGAGGGACCGTCCGGGTCCGGTTGGTGGGCATCTTCGTGGGGAATTGTCTTGATGATGATTACTGATGCAGGAAAGCCCAGCCCGGGATGGGCAGCACTGATGTCTGCTTTTTCTGATGGGGTGTTTATTACAGTAGCAGCAGTGGGGCTGGGATGATATCTAACTCACTTTTGCTGCCGGCCTTGCAAAAAGATGCTGTTTTAACCAAAACAGCAACACCCACACAAAACTCAAGCTAGTCAAAGTAGGGGCGAGTCCCTGCCTGCTTCACCTCTGGACATCCAGGAAGAGGTGACTCCACGATCGTTTCAGAAGTTCTTAAGACCCTGACCAACCTCCAATCCCCCCTAATTCCCAGTAGAGCTCACTTGTCACTCACAAATCAACAACAGACAGAAGCATGTGACCCTGTCTAGGGCGTCAAAGGACACAAGGCTTGCATTTCCAATTCTGCTACCAACTGGCAGCGTTTTTCTAGGCAAGCTAGCTCATACTCCTAAAGCTCCACGCCGCACACTGAAATGAGTGATTGTACTATATGCAGAGGCTAAGTGGTACCCACTGGTACCGAGGCTGGAGGACCGCCCTGGGAACCTAACGGGTGGTGTCGGGGAGGGAGTAGAGGCAAAACATGTGGCTTGGTTACGTTCTTAGAGCCTTTGCAGGCTGGAGCATCAAGAGGGACGTGTTTCAGGGTGTGCAACACAATGTCCTTGCTTCTAGAAAGACACAGCCCAAGTTGAGGGTAATTGATATCATTATTCTCCCTCAGACTTTTAAATTGCTAGTGCTGGGAGAATTTGCACCATTGTCTAGAACAGTGGTTCTCACCCTGTGGATCGAGACCCTTTTGAGGGCTGCGTATCCGGTAACCTGTGTATCAGATATTCACAACAGTGGCAAAGCTACAGTTACGAAGTAGTAGCAAGAAAAGTAATGTTATGGTTGGGGGTCACCGCAGCACGAGGAACCGAGTTAATGGGTTGCAGCACGGGGACGGCTGAGACTCACTGGGAATGTCAGGCAAGCTGCTCTTTTTGTCGTTTGTTTGTTTTCGTCCAGGCTGTGGATTCAATGTGACTAACAGCAACCCTACCATATGCATCAACGACCTCATCGCAGAGCACAATAAGCAGCACGAGGCAGCCCTGAAGCCCTTGCGGGCCGATCATCTCATCGCCAGGGCAGTAACTGTGCTGGAGAAGCTGATTGACACGTTTCAGGACCGAGGGCCCAATGGTGTCCTCCCTCTCTACTACAAATACTGGGTGCACAGGTCAGTACCCGCGGTCTTCTTGCTTTTAAAATTCCTTGAAGTCAGTACTTCACTTTCTTAGCATGAAGGGCCAAACATAGGTCTGGGCGGTCGTTTCTTAACTGCGAGGGAAAAGCCCAGTGATTCAGCCTAGCCAGAAGTGAGGGACCAGCATCCTGGAGGATGCTCTGGGAAGGAGGCGGCACCCAGAACATCTAGAAGCAGTTTAGTGTGAACTCCGAGGAGCTCTCAGACACATCTACGTGGTAGAACCTTCTAGATCCCAAAGTGAGATCCCCATACAACCATGGCAGCCTCGCCTGCACCTAGGATCTTCTGAATCTGTGCTCTGGGGCTGAGGCCCAGCCCCACATGCTCACAGATGCTCCTGGCATCCTCCGTCAGCTCGGGCATGGGGACCACGAGTGGGTGAGACACGCCTCTACCCTCCCTAAATGTCAGCGTCCTCAAACTTAAGAGAAGGTGGGACAGCTCCGTGGAGTTACGGGTTCCAAGGGTTGAAACCACGTCACCAGGCTTGTGGGACAAGTGCCTCACCTACTGAGCCCATCTTGGCCGTCCCTGTGCGGTGGTTTTCTTTTCCTTTCCTCGTTTTGATTGGCATACGCTGATTTGAAAAAATAGTGGATTTTTGTTATGACATTTCAGACATGCTTACAGTATAAACTTGGTCACATTCCCTGGTCCCCATTGCCCTCTCCTGCCCCCCCGGCTTTCCCCAATAGCCCCTCCACTTCCTTTATTTTTACACAGTGTATTAAGAGTGCCTGGGGCAGGAAGGGGCACAAGCCACCAGCAATAGGATCAGAATTAGGGTGACGTGACACATCGAAGGCCCCAGCCTACCTCTGTGGCTGCTTGAGTGGATATCAAGACTTTCCACAGGGACAGAGGAGGCCAGAGGTCGCTATGATCAGCCACAGCCTGTCCCCAGGACCCCAGCCCCTCGTAGTGAGTAGTGACTCGGTTCTTCGGTCCAGCCTTCTGTTGCCCCCCGTGACCCCAGTGTCTGTGTGCTCCGTTTCCAGTGGCCAGCAAGTCCGCCTGGGCAGCACCGAGGGGCCACAGGTGTCCATTGTGGGCCTTGACGACTCCGGGTTCCTGCAGGTGCATCAGAAGGGGGGTGCAGTTGTGACGGTGCATCCAGATGGCAACTCCTTTGACATGCTGAGAAACCTCATCCTGCCCAAACGACAGTAGACAGGAGCGCGTGTCCCCAGACAGCTTGGATCCGCCCTGCTGCAGCCGCAAGCCACAGCAGCTTCCTGGGAGCTCCGAACAAGCACGCCCGCTTGCACGGCTGTCGTCTTTGCCTGCCTGGGGCCTGGGAAATTAACGTAGCGTTGTGGGCCAGTGTCCTCTCCAAGTCACTGTTTGTTAGCTCTTCAGGTTATCAGGTCCCTGCCCCCGCCTCCACCCCCCACCCCCCACCCCCGTTTGGGTTTTTGTTTTGTCTTTTTATGTCTGTGGTTGTATTGGGTGTTTGAGGATGCATCTGGTGAGGGTTGGCAGGTGAAGATTCCGTTTAGCGTAGGAGTTTAGTTTGCCTTGCACGGTGTCACCGTGCTCTTCTCCACACGGGCTCAGCTCTGGGTTTACTAGGAGGGGCAATGAGCTCAGGAGAATGCTGAGGTAGCGGTCACTGCTTGTGAGCCTCCAGAGCGCTCTCCAGGAACATGTGTTCTCCAGGAACATACAGTCAAGCCTACGCACTGCGTTGTTTTCTGCTTCGTTTCTGGGCATTTGTTGTTGACTTCCCCAATCAAGGTGGGCTGCCTGAAGTCACTCTGCTGCGGTAGTCCGGTAACACTGGACTGAAGAGTGGCTACAGGGGTGCGGTGCCGCCAGCCTGCGTGGTTGCCATGGCCTCAGGGAGGGAGTAAGTTTCTTACTTTGCCCTTGTGCAAAGAGATATTGACAGTAAAGTCTGGAGGGGTGTGTGCGTGCGTGCGTGCGTGCGTGTGTGTGTGTGTGTGTGTGTGTGTGTATGCGTGCGTGTGCACGCGTGTGTGCATGCATGTGCCCGAGCGCTCGTGTATGACTTTAAAAGATGTTCAAAATCGGACGTGCTAAAAGTCTCCATGGAAGAACAAAGCAAAGGAAGCCTTTCTAGGTTGGTTTCCAGATGTGCGGGTGCCTTCCCATGGACCTCCCGTCTCTGTGGAGTTTGTGAATCATACCCGCTACTTCCCAGCCTTAAAGAACCAATTCCCGTCGGCTCTCCCACTTCCTGCCATTCGCCCTGCAGTTGGTGGAAAGGAAACAGAACGGAATGCTTAGCTTTGAACAAGATCCCCTCATCGTAAAACCAGTGCCATCTTTATGCAGGTCTTATATGGTCAGGCTGAACTCCAGAAACATGAGGTTTTCAGTATGAAGATCCATCTACCTTCAGCGTAGCACAGACAACCCCACTTGAAGAAAAAAAAAAAAAACACTGGTAAACTCCACCAACCTCACCTATGTTTCAGGGCATGTAACTTTAAAAGAACTTAAAAAGAAGTAACTTTTTTTTTTTTGCAAATAAGACTTCATATATATCTTTCCTAAATTTTGTTCCGGTCTTTTTTTTTTTAATTCATACGAGTTTAAATAAAACTCTACACCACCCCAAAATCACAAAGTGGACAGCCCCTTGAGAGGGCGTCTGTAAAATGTCATCAAGGACGGAGATCTCCAGGCTGATGTTGCAGGTTTCATTTCCCAGACTTTGTAATCTAAGGCTCGTTGTCTCCCAGGACTACCATCATTACATTTAAATTTCTTTGGGGGATTATTTAATGAAAAACATGCTGTTTTATTTTAAACTGAAAGTCTATTCTGGGTAGTTGTACTTTGGGAAAAAAATGTTATCATTTAATTTCCTTTCTGTAAGTTAAAACTAATGAAGTGTGGTCCTGCCAGAGCAGACAGAGGAACGTTCTAGACGCGGCGGTCAGCCTCAGAGTGGTCACGATAGTTGCAGCGTTTAGGGGTACTCTCGATTATGCAAATATGACACCCACTTGTCTTGAGAGACACAAAGTAGCCTTGAAGCAGATGTTTCCCATTAACCTGGCTTTGTCTCGCTTGAACCAAAGACTTCAAATCCCCCCCGCATGGTAGAGAGTGATCTAGGGGTATAGGTGGGGAGGCCGCCTCTCACCTGCTCATGGGAGGGTGTTTACAGATTCTGCAGTCTGAGGTCTCAAGGAGCCTCGCCGTCTTGAGGGAACTTTGCGGTCTCCTAACCTTGAGACATGGCCACCTAACTCAGAATCGGCCTGTGCGTTAGAACAGGCTACTCCTGGTGCAGAGCTGCCCACTTACCACCAAACCCCCACCCCCAAACCCCCCCACCCCCAACCTTTTTGGAAGACACACACAGCCAAAACTGGGTTTCACGTGACCGAGCTAAAGCAATGGGGAGCTCTGACAGGGAGAGCTGGAAGGGGCAGACATGGGACATTAGGTGACCAAATGTGGAAGCAGTGTCCTGTCTTCGGCTCGGTCAGATACACGCCCAGAAGGGACCACAGACTCTGGGTCGGGGGGGTTCCCCTCCACCTAGCACACAGTGTGGTAGTACCCTGGCCTCTCTCACCCAGCACCTCCAGAACGCAAGAGGGGAACCTGAGGGGCTTTGCTTTCCTCAAGCCAGGAAAGCAGAGCCTGACTCATCCCTATGCATCTTTGAAATAAACAAAAATGTAAATCTTTGCTATTTCACTTTTTAGCTTTTCAAAGAACCATCTCTGAAAAGAAGTACTGTAAACCGATGCCTATAAAGCAAAAGTCTACCAAAATAAACTTTTCAGGTCTCACCATGGCTCACGCTCATTCTTGTTTTACCCCAGGTGTCATTATTAAAAATAGTATTTTTTGATTGCGCTATTTTCATTTAACATTTAAACATGTTTACATGACGAGGACTGTATAATGATTCAGGAACTTGGGGCTTTGTGGGCTTTTATGTATTTTGGGCAGGAAGGGAATCGTACTAGCTGAAAGAAGAAATGCTCACAGAGGCCCAGAGGACAAATCTTTCTAACCAACCGAGAGGGACATTTGAAGTCGACACTCCTCAATGGTTCTTTCAGGAAATCTCTTTTGTGAAAACTGCTCAACTTTCACTAAAGATACTTTGACCCTGGGAGAGCAACATCGTGTGTCATGCCCGTTTGGGATCAGCCTGAGTCGTGGGCTATGGGCAGCCCACAGACTGCAGGTCTCCAAAACCTGGAGCTGAAAATGTCCCTTTGAGGCCACCTTCTCTGTAGTGACTCCCACACTCTGCCCCCAGCTACCTGGTGATTCTGATAGATGAAAACTTGGATAGATTTTACGTGTGTGTAAGCTGTTAGAACGCCCACACCCACACACACCTTCCTGGTGGGAGGGAGGATGGCCTGTCCCCCTGGACCTTCCAAAGGATGAGAGGGAGGGGTGGAGATGCAGGCCCTGCCACCCTTTCGCGTTTCCGCAGGGGGATGAATGGAATGGCTTTTCTAGAAAGGGGCCTCCAGGAGCATAAAGGAATTCCTTTCTCTGGGAGGCACTGTGCAGGGCCCAAGCCTTGAATTGGGTTTAGGCTTCCGATCCATTTGGTCTGGCATTTTTGTCAACGTGGTACGCCTTAGGTAGGGCCCGCTATGATTGTCCTGCCTTCTTTTTCTTCGAAACAGCATCATCATTATTAAAACGTTTCCTCTTCTGTCATAGCTTCCCAGAGTTGAGAAACGATGCCCAAGCTTCCATGGGCAGAATCTTGAGGATGTGGGGTAACGGTATTGGGTTGCCGTGGCAACTTTGCCAGAGTCCATAACCTCCGTAAGCCAGTTTGACTTTCTGAGGGAATCCTTGTTCCTATTTTAGGCTACGAAAACGTGATGTTTGTTCAGATAAGGAAATTTTTTTACTAATTTTATGAATTTTAATTTTTAGGGATGCATAAATTCCCTGACGTTTGTGTTATCTTTTGCAAATCTATAACAGGGCCAATTTTTTTCCCCGTTAACCTGCCCCAGAAGCCTTCATGATTTGTGTCTCGCAGATACAGCTCCCAGAGGTTGTTAATAACCTCTGGGGTTGGCACAGAAGCGCTTAAATGGTACTTTATTGGAAAGTGTTGGTCTGTAATGTCCATGAATCAACCATCGACCTTCAAAGAACCGCCGCTCGATTGTGAGACCCGTGAACATAAAAGGTCACGCCCTCCAGCTTATTACCATGTACAGATCTGAGGGCATCTAAGTGAGGCATGGCTGAGTGCAGGCGAGGGGTGTGTGCAGCCACCCTGTCACCCAGTGCCTTCCACACAGACCCCTCCTGTCCCCTAAGCTCGCCAGCACCGTAGAGAATAAACAGGCTCCTCACTGTGAGGCCCAGGTTGACTGAAGTTTGTATTTTGAGAGCTCTTGATGTCATTGATTGTAGAAGGGTTAGGTTTTTTTTTTTTATCAGAACCTTTTGGTGCAGGTAGGAGGAGTTTTTAAAGCAAAGCGAGCTTTATTAAAAGTAAACCGGCGAAGTATTTCCTGTGTGGAGAAACTGGAAGGTGGGGAAGCAGATGTTGGTCAAGACAGATGTTCGGGTCAGATCCTCGAGAGAATTTTTGAATAGTGATTTTTTTTTTACTTTCTTTCCATACTGGGGTTTAAAACAAACCTGTCACCCAAGCGCTGGACTGCTGAGCCACACCCATAAAAAGTGAATACTCCCACAAATAAATGAAAGTAATGCAAGTTTATTTTTAAACACTGCTGGTGGGTTTATAAAAAGGGTCTCCATTCACCTGTTACACACGACATGTTTGTACGAAGCTCTCGGTGCTATGTAGAAAATGCTTAAATGTATACACCGTTTTCATTACATCCCCTAAGCGTGTTTTTTTTTTCCACAAGGTGCAGTCCGTTCAGGTCTCTGTATTGCACATGCAATATAACTAGCTTTAAGTAGTACCTACTTGCAGCAAACACAAGCGTAGGACTAACAGATCCGTGAGGGCTGCAGGGATATTGCCAGGGAATTAAGCTTGTCAGGGCCATTCCAGGATGTCTGACTATATGTATCTTTTTGCATTTAATGCTTACTCCATATATTTTTGAAGGTGCGATTTGTGGGTGTTAACCAAGAGTTCCTACGGGCTCGGGAAGGAGCGAGCTTGTCGTGCGCTTCTGAAGCACACGGGTGTCCACGCCTCACTCGACAGGCTGGCACGCCTGCCTCCTAAGCCTCGGCAGGCTGGGGTTTTTCCTTTTGTGTGTGTGTGTGTATCTTTAAAAGGATTAAACTTAAAAATGAGATGCGTGAGTTCGAAGACAGCAGAAACTCTTGTCTGCTCGTGGGACTTACAAGGAGAACGTTTTGTGTGAAGTGTCCAAAAGGACTCTGAAAGGACTCCTGTGGGATGGGGGTGGGAGGGGTCCCCTTAAGGTGGCACCCTTCCGCCAAGCTGCACGCAATGCCTTGAATTCCCATTGCAGACTGACTCCCCAGGGCGAGGAAACCAAGAGCCCTGGGAACTGGCTAGTTTGAGGTCACAGGTTGGCATCTGGACTCTGGGCCCTCTGAAAACCGGCCCTTGGCGGCTGTCCCTTCTCCCCATCCTCCAACTGGGTCCCAATCCTCTACACCGGTTAAAAAAAATCTAAAAGGCGGCAGTGGAGTTCTATTAAAATAGTTGTCTCTGTATAAATTAATTTATATCGTGCATATACAGTTCGCCCCATCTGCTGGACCTTGAAAAAAAGAAAAGAAGTAAAGGAACCAGAGAAGGCCTGGCCTATGGCTTCTCCCTGTGGGCCGCCCTGCGGAGCGGGACCGGCCCTGGCGGGTCACCTGCCATTGGTGATGATGACCGAGGCACCCAGGTAGTGCGGCCGGGGCGCGCCGGGCGCAGAGGCGGCGACGGGGCCCGGGTGTCGCGGCCGCAGAGGGCCGACCGCCTCGGGGGCTCCGGGGCCGCAGGCCAGGCCGGGCGCAGCGCCCCCGAGCGGCCCGCGGCGCGCCAGCACGCGGTGGTAGTTGAGCAGCACGAAGGGCAGCTGCGCCGGCGCCTGCGGCTCGGGAGCGGGGGGCGCGCAGCACTCGGGGGGCGCACGGGCCAGCGCCAGCCGGGCTCCGTCCCGGGACACCTGGCGCGCCGCCTTGGCGGGGCCCAGCGCCGGCTCCTCGCGGTAGTGGCCGCAGCTCGGGAAGCTTGGGGGCGCGGGGTCCTCGGCGAACCTGCGCGCAGCGGCGGCGGCGGGCGCTGCGGGGGACAAGCGACAGGTTAGAGAATTGCACTCGGGAGGAAGCCGTGCCTTCGGAGGCACACCCTCCTCTGCTCTGCTCTGCGCCACAGGCGGCCTCGGCCTTGCGGAGAAACCCGGCACGGTCCTTCTCGTTTATGCCCGGAGCCACACGTGCCCTCAATCGTGCAGAGCCACGTGTTCCTCAGAGTCACAAACCCCGCCACGCACACCCATCACGCACGCACGCGCACACACACCCATCACACATGCACACCCATCATGCATTCACACATACACCCATCACACACGCACGCACGCGCGCACACACACACATCACGCACACACACACACGCACACACATCATGCACAGAGTGCCACCAGTGCCACCCCTTGAACGCTCCAGGCCAGCGTGGTGCAATCATACGGGGTGAGAGTCATTCTGCGTAATATGCTTAACACAACAGAGCATCAACACAAAAAGATGCTCCAAAGCCACTCGGAGCTGGCAGGCACCTTGTTGGACAGCAGCAGAAGCTAAGCAGGGTCCTCTCCACAGTGTCCAGTCTGCCGGTTTTGCTGACTCCTCAGTGTGGGTGGGGTGGGGTGGAGTGGAGGGCGTGTTAACCGCCCTGTGCTGTTTAGTAGGTCCATAATTAAAAGATTAACCGTGCCCATTCAAGTAACTTCCCCGAGCTTTCCCATGAGGTTTTGTTTTCTCTTAATGCCAAAGACTAGGAAGTTGGTACAAATGACCTCAAGTCCCACCTTTGGTCCTTCCCCACCCTGCTTCTCCTCAGATGTGACAAGCAGGTGGCCGATGACCATTTTTGCTTTGAAATAGTAATAAAAGACAAATTCCTGAGATACTGAGAGACAGGAAGTCTGTCTCACGCAGCTGTCTCGCGAGGTCCTTTACTTCTTTCCTTGACTCCTGGGGACCCTTGCACTTACGGGTATTGGGGGTCCAACCATCCCAAGGGAGGGATCATGGCATAGGCTGGGGCCAAGTCAGGGTGCCCTAGTGGCTGATGAGGTCTCCTCTGAATGCTTTTGAAAACCTCGTTCTGTCTCTTTCCACCCGTGGTCGTCACCCTGCTCAGATCTGACCTTGAAATGTAGACTACTCACGATACGGAGCCATACCCTCCGAGTTTGCACAGGAAAGCCGGAGAGACAGAGTGTGGGCACAAGGACAGAGACTGACAGACGCGAAGAGAGAGGACTCGGGCACACACGTGACAGGGGATGTCTTAATAAATGCTGGTGATATTTTTTTCCTAGGGCATAGCATCCTAGTAGGACATTTACCCTCACTTTAGGGTTCCTGCAGACCGTCTGCACCAGCTTGCTCTGAGCAGTCACCAAGTCTAGATGGAACTGGTTTATGTCTTCCCACAGCCAGCCCTCCTCTGCCTGTGATTGGCTAGTGTGCCAACAGAAATGTCAGAGTGTCCCAGGGAGTGGGCTGGCTCTTTCCACTTACCTTCGAGTAAGAAACATTAAAGGACCAGTCCTGGGCTGTGGTTGGACCAGCAATGTACTGTGGGGCTCCTGGAGGGTGCTAAGTAGGCTCACTACATAGGCTGTGGTCCCATTTTACAGAAAGAAAGACAGAGGCTTGAAGAGTCCATGCTAGTTGATGTGTGTTTGTGGTTTCTTCCCTTCCCCTGCCCCAGGCCAGGAATTTCTACTTTCATCTTCCATAGTTTGAAAACTGGTCTAGGGAGAGAATCAATGTCTCTGCCGTTAACTGTGGGGTACAGTGGAAAGGGATCTATCTCGTGGGTGTAGCAGGAAGGTTGACAAACACGGGAGCTGGTTTAGAAAAAAATCACCTGTGTCTCCCTGTGGGAGCGTTAAAACACAGTCAGGAGTTGTACGGGGGTGGGGTCTGGGCTCCCAGTTTCCCTTTGCTCGATATACCGTCTCTGGTGTCCTTGGGACGTGTGACCTGCAACCCATTTCCCACTCTTGTGAAACCATGATTGGCACTGGGACGCAGGGTAGTCCCTGCTCAGAAACAGGAAAGGCCATCGTTTGCCCAGCGCAGGATTCTTTTCCCGTCTACCACCCACTGCTACTGATGCTGCCCCCGCCCCACCCTCTCCGCTTGCCAACGGGACCCACCTTCATAGTTTGGCACGAGTCCATGCCGGGCAGCATTTACAGGAGGCTCAGAAAGGTTTTTAGCTGGCGATGGGCTGCTGGGCACTAGGGGGTTGGCATAATGCCATTGGCATTCGCTGCTGGCTGGCAGCGTGCTCAGGAAAAAGCGTGCCACCTCACACGGGGATCCTTGGGGCTGCCCGAACTTGGCGGGCAGTGCTGGCTTCTTGCTGCCGAAGACGTGAGAGTCCAAAGGGAAGTGTCCATAATGGTAGGAGAAGGGGAGGCCGTAGGGTGGCCCGTATAAAAGGTCCCCGCCGCCGCCTTCTGAATGGAGCTGCTGTTCCGGGGGAGCCGGAGCGTTTGTGGGGGGACTGGTTCTCCAGTTTCCCGCCTGGCTGCACTCCAGCTTGTCCATTTGGAACGAGTTGTATTGCTGCATGGCAAGGAAGATGGATGAGAGGCCATCAGAGAGGCCACAGGCAAGCTACCCTCTCGTCACACAGGACCGGATCTTAGGGGGCCCAGCCCCAATGTCACTGTGAGGTCCCTGAGAGGAAAGACCCTGTGCTCCAAGCTGACCACACACACCACATGCTGTGGACACTTGCCACTTCCCAGAGCTCACTAATGGCATTTTAAGAGGGCGAATTTTTATTTTGGTATTACCGTAAGCCAAATAAAGTAGCGCACGCTCATCCTAGTTATTGGGGGGGGCGGGTGTAGCAGATCGCTTGAGGCAGGACTTCAAATCTAGCCTGGTCAACATAATGAGACCCCCACCCCCAAAACAGAAGACAAAGGTTCTGTAGCCCATATTCGCATGGATTCAGAGGGCCCGTGTGCCTTCTTGAGTTAGCTAGGTTTCTCTCTCTCTCTCTCTCTCTCTCTCTCTCTCTCTCTCTCTCTCTCTCTCTCTCTCTCTCTCTCATTCTTGAAAGTTTCCCAGGGGGCATTGCTGTCTGAAGGTGTCACTACCATGTGGTCAAAACATCTCCCAGGGACCTTTTCTTGCTCAGAGGTTCACAGCTGATGCCCAGGGGTCCTGGGTCCCCAGGGCATAGACGCCCATCTTGCCCCCCCCCCCGGTGCACGTTACCTGTGGGGGGTAAGGGTTGGTTCTCAGCTTTGTCTTCATCTTTATATTTTTGGGTTTAGCTGATTTCCTTGTTTCTTGTGAGGTAGACAAGGTGGCTCTCCAGGAGTCCTGAGACTTAGAAGTAGACGCCTGGTCCAGAGACAACTGAAGCTCCTTGTATTCTATATCCCTGGGAAGCAGGAGTAGGCAAGTCACACCCAGCAGCCCATGCGTGGGGCGGGCGAGAGAGCAGAACCCCCCCGCCCCGCCCTGCCCCAAGCAAGCTCATCCTTCTCGGGGGCTCAGGGGCTGGACGACAAAAGCCACCAGCAGCTCCAGTGTGGTGGCCCAGAGGGTGCCGAGCAAGGTTAGTACTGTTTATCGAGAACGTGGAAAGTAATACGCTTTCTCCAAACCCACGCAGCCCCGACACCTTCCCCAAGGATGCTGACCGTGGCGAGCGGTAGGGCATGCTAACAAGGCGGAGGACAGCAACCCAGTGGTCCCAACGACCCTTATCGGTTTGTGTGTCCGTGGGGGCCCAGCTGTTCTCTGTTGAGGGCCCCAGAAGGGATGAGGTGTAGGGAGCCAGCTCCTAACCTCACCCACTTTCTCTCGGACTCATGTCCACCCTGCAAAACCAGCTTGGTAAAGTCACACTCCCAGAGGGTGCTGCCTGCCGTGCCCAGCTGGTGGGTTACGGGGCAGAGGCATTTCCTCCCGGGCAGTTTTGCCAGATCCTCCTCCTCCTCCTCCTCCTCCTCCTCCTTCTCCTCCTCCTCCTCCTCGTCCTCCTCGTCCTCCTCCTCCTCAGCCCTGAAGGAACCCGGATCCGCAGTGCTTAGGACACGGGAGGACCCATCCTTGGCTGAGGCTGGGGGCATAGAGAGTGAGAGTCCGGTACAGGGTGTTCCAGGAAGGTTTTGCCTATGACTTCTGGTGGATTTATACTCATCTGCACACCTGCATCTGAGTCGCTTGGTGGCCCAGGCCTGTAATCCCAGCCCTTAGGAGGCTGGGGGAAGGGAGGGATCATGAGATTGAGGCTAGCCTGGACTAATGAATGACAAGACTCTGTCTCAAAAAAATTTTTTTTCCCAATTACACTCGGGTCTTTCAGGGACCAAATCCTCGCCATCGTTGGAAACTGAGTGTTGTGGGAAGACAGAAACGGGAGCCGGCGTCTGCCCCTAATGGACACAGGACATGAACCACACCCGCTTTGCACACGGTCCCCTCCTGGGTCGTCCAGTCTTGGGCTCTGTACCAGGATCTGATCCTTAGATGACGTCATTGCCACCACTCCCTGGCACATGCTCGTGGCTGGGACCTCCTAAGCTACCGGGTTATTCCGGTAAGACAGAAACGGGGGTGGGGGGAAGAGGCGAACAGTTTTAGAAGGCGAGAGGCGTGGGAGGTGACCCTTCTTGGAGCGATGCCATGAGGGACAGAGGAAGGGAGAGCAAGGAGAGAAATGAACGCAGAGGCTGACTTACGTGAGGACATAATTGACGCTCACGACGCAGTGGGGCCGGGAGGAGCGGCTGTTGTGCACCACGGTGGCGTAGCTCTGCACCCAAACCCAGCCGCCCAGCTTGGACAGCAGCCGGTAGTATTTGGTGGTGACCTGGCCCTTCACCAGCACTGCAAGCACAAGGGGACATGAATCCTGGGGGGGCTCCAAAGGTCCCGCCCCACCCCACCCCAATCAGAGCCGCCTAGGGCAGAGGACCTTTGAGAACTTGGTGGAGTAGGTGGACTTTCTCCACATAAACATGGCACGCACGCGCACACGCGTACACACGCACACACACACACACACACACGCATGCACATGCACACGAAGCAACTTCACCTATAGCTTTGCAGGCTCCTGACAGCAGCCCCTCCCCTCTTGTTAAGAGCCATTTAACAGTCACTGCTTTCATGGGAGAAAAAAGAAAAGAAAACAAAAAACAAACAAAAAAAACCCTAGACATCACCAGTACCTTCAAGTCGGTAAAATCCGATTAGTTTTTTTAGTGCCCAAAATGCTCCAATTATGTTTCATCCCCAAAACCTTTAACAGGCAGAGGGACTACGTTGTCTAAACAGGGCAGTAATTTCAGTGCAACCAACCAAGTGTCAGATTGGTGCTGACATCTGCCGTCTGTCACCAAGCGCGTATTCACAGGGAACCTGCTCCCTGCTCCAGTGCCCTTTGTATTTTCTTCCCAATCACCCGTTTTTCCTCGGGCTGTTAATTTCCTGTGTGGCTCGCGTAGGAAACCCTTCTGCTTAGTGACTCAGCTCCTGAAAATTGGGCCTGTGAGCCCACCTCCTACGCATGGGTGCAAAGGCCGGGCGTCTGAGCAGTTCCCTGCAGAGCCTCTGCGTGCCCGTAAACCATGACTTCCCCCTTTGCAGCCCTCAAGCAGGCAGATGGAGGAAAGCTGGGAAGGGAAGAAAGTGCCAGAAGCTGTGGGTGGGCGGCAAACTAAGCAAAGGCGTTTCAGCTATTCTACCTGCAGCTCTAGAACATTCCTGCTTCTCAAGGCTAGCCTGGGGCCCCTGCCCGGAGACCCCTGGACAAGGGGAGGGAAAAACCAAATGGATTAAGGCTGTACTGAGGGACCCCACGCACGACAAGGTGCACACCCAACACAAACCTAGTCCTCACGTTGCTCTACGGGCAGAGACCCCCCCTAGTCTGCCCTGCACACCCCCAGGCTCTCTGCTGCTCACGATGGATCTGTGTCAGCCGCTGCCAACAACGACTTCAAGACATTTGGATGCCTTGGGAAAACGGCATGGATTGATAGCCAAGAGATTGTCGGCCTTGCATATCAAAGGTAGTAAAATCTCCAAGATTGCTATGGTTTGGTTCTTAAAATATTTAGGATAAACCAGCTCTGTTTTATCCAGCTGGGTATGGTGCCTCACCTGTAATTCCAGCATGTGGGAGGGTGAAGTTGAAGGAATCGCCACAGGTTTGGGGCTAGCGTGGGCTACAGAATGAACTCCAGAATAACTACAGTGTGAGACCCAGCCTCAAACAAACACATAGGCAGACACACATGCACATGCATGCGTGTGTACACACACACACACCCGAGCACACTCGTGAATACACAGAGAGGCTTCATGGTTGCTGAAAGCATTTAGACCTAAAAGCAATGAGATTGAAAGGCATGTACAAACTGCATGTGGTAGCTTGAACATAATTGGCCCCATAAGCTCATAGGGAGTGCCTCTACAGAGAGGTGTGGCCTCGTTGGAGTGGGTGTTGCCTTGTTGGAGTAGGAAGTGCGTCACTGTGGGAGCGGGCTTTGGGGGGGGTCTCATATGCTCTCATGCCACACCTACTGTTTCAGTTCGCTTCCTGTTGCTTCTGAACCAAGCGTTACTCTGCCTGCCGTGGTGATACTAAACTGGACCTCTGAACTGTGAGCCAACCACCCCAACTAAATGTTTCCTCTGTAAGAGTTGCCGTGGATCGTGGTGTCTCTGCACAGCAATAGAAGCGCTAGGACACTGCCAAACAAATTTTGGATAAACGTATCAGGACAAAAATGAGCCAATGATCAGCTCGTTGATTCAAATCTGTAGGGGCACCCAGCAAATACTCAAAAAAAGAAATGAACACCACGTGTTTCTGTTTACGTGTGGTGCCCGTGATAGGCGAATCCGCTAAGGGCCAGAGCTGATGGGTGGCTGCAGGCTCCGAAGGAGGAGGGGGCAGGAATGAGGGCCACAGGGCAGACCGGTCTGGAGAGGGTGACAGCGGTCTGGGAAGGTGACAGATGCTCTGTGGCCATTCTAAAAACCCACTGAAAATGCTTGAAAAAAGTTGGGTTTTGTATTGTGTGACTTTCATGTAATTTTCAAAAAGTGGCGAGCTGTGCCGTCCAGTGTGGGATGGAGGGCTGTCCGAGGGCTGGACGGAGGGTGACCCCACTGTTTGGACAGCAGTCTGGCGGCTCGCTGGAGCCGGCACACTTCGCTTCTAGGGGGTTACGCATGGCGCAGACAGCCCGATGTGCAGAGAGACCCGCTGCCGTCTTGTTCAAAGTTCAGGCGTGCCAGAGGAGGGGGCGTGTGCGTTCACGGGGCAAAAGGTAAGAAAACCATGACGTGCCTGTGCAGACACTGAAGCGACCGACGGGGGGCCCTGCAGAAAATGCAGAGGGATGCTAGAGAAAACGAGAGACTGGGAGGCGAGGAGAATGTAACCCTAACTTTAAAAGGGGGCCTCCGGGCACATGCCCACCCAACTAATCCCGACCCACTAACTAGCCAGCTGTGGAACGTTTGTTTACACTGTGTGGAGATGTGTCACTGTGATTGGTCTCATAAAGAGCCGAAGGGCCAATAGCAGGGCAGGAGAGATAGGCGGGACTTCCGGGAAGAGAGAGGAAGTGGAGGGGGAATCTAGGCGCGTGAATTACACCGGGAAGATGTCAATGAGACATGCAGGAATAAAAGAGAAATAAAGAGCCACATGGTAAAACGTAGACTAATAGAAGCAGGCTACTTGGGGAAAAGCCTAAGCTAAGGCTGAGCTTTTGTAATTAATAGTAAGTCTCCTTGCTGTTATTTGTGAGCTGGTGGCCCAAAGAAAATCCCAACTGCATCAGCCTGCGCCTTGGTTTGACCATTTGAGGAGGATAATCACGGCCAGTAGCATATGGTCGTGAAGACTATGCCATTTCTTTGAGGAACAGTGGCAGACAGTTGGGGCTCCACACGCGCGAATTCTCATCTAGCTGGCACAATGACAGGAAATCATCGTTTTCTTCTTTTAAAGCTTTTCTTCTTCTTCCAAAGTTCCAACAAAGAAGGGGTCGGAGCCTTCTAACCAGAATGAAATGTCAGGTGTTTGGTTTTGCTGTTTTCGTTTTGACACGGGAAAACATTTTGCAAAGGAGGTTGGAAAGCAGAATTCTAACGTGCCCCAGGCCCCAACCCCTTTAGGGATATATGCAGAGATGCATGTAGTAATCCTCCCACGTAACAGCTACCTCAACCTGTTGTGTGACAGCCTTCCCCCTGACCCTGTGTGACAGCCTTCCCTCTGACCCTGTGTGACAGCCTTTCCTCTGACCCTGTGTGACAGCCTTCCCTCTGATCCTTCTGTGTGACAGCCTTCCCCCTGACCCTGTGTGACAGCCTTCCCTCTGACCCTGTGTGTGTGACAGCCTCCCCTCTGACCCCGTGCGCAACACCCATCCCTCTGTAGAATTAATTCTAGCTTCTCGGCAGACTTGCTTGACCAGGGTGGGACCCACAGTGCTGATCATGAATGAGGCAATAGAGTGGGTACATTTATGATACTTCAATCTCCTCACGTCCCTTTCCCATCTCCATGACATCACGGGAGGTGACCTCCTCATAAAATGTGGCTTTCCTACCAAGTTACAATGAAGGGCCTGCGCCCACAGCTGAAGTGGCGCCCACAGGCTGAATTGTGTCATTCCAACTCTGTGAGCTGAAACTCTCGCCCCTCGCACCACAGCACGGACTGATTGGAGGCTGTGCCTTTATAGAGGTAAATATGGTGACCATCACGCCTAGCACGTTAATAAGACGATGGGACCATGAGAACAGACACACAGAGGGCCTACCACATGAGGACCCAGGAAAGATGCCATCTGAGCCGGGAGGGGAGAGGCCTCAGGAGGAGCCAGCGCCGCCACCTTGAGCTTGGACTTCAAGCCTCTTGTTACAGCTACCTGGGCTGTGGTAATGTGTTGTGGCAGCCCTGGGAAACTCATCTGGTCCCCACAAGGGTCATGAAACAGAAAGAGTCCTCGAAAAACAAGGGGCCAGGTCACTTCCACAGGGCTCTGGGGAGCCGAGCAGCAGCTGCTAAATACTTCTCTGAGAGGAGAGAGGGCATCAGGCCGGGGTGGGGGCGGGGGACCCAGCCCCCTTCAGTCTTCACGGAGAAGGAGCACGGCTGTCGGGATGCTCAGGTTAGTCAGCAGGGACCTCAGACAGGGAAGCTGACAGGGCTCCGGGGAGAAGGGTCACCCTGTATGCAGAGACCAGGAGGCTATTGGAACCCGGCTGAGAAGAAGAGGAGGGGTCTGAGGAGCTGGCTCTGGTGCGGACTTCCAGCGGTGGGCACCTGCCTCCTGCTGGAGACCTCGACTAGGCAAAGCCCCCTCTGACCAGACATGGAATGAGCCAGGGGGTCAATGTCACCCGCAAGCAGTTCTCAGCCAAGAACGGCGGGAGCTGTCATGTACAAATGTTGGCCACTCTTTCCTCTACCACCCCATTAACGCAGGCAGGGGCCTCCCACTGGCTCCCAGAGCACCCCAGGACTGACAGTCCTGATGGCAAGTGGGGGGTACCTATACTTTTCTTTTTGAGACAAAGCCTCATGTATCCCAAGCTGGTATCCAATTCTCTATACAGATAAGGATGTCTCCCTGCCAGGCATGGTGGCACATGCTCTTAATCCTATAATTCAGGATATCTATGTGTTGCAGGCTAGCCTGGTCTACAGAGTGCGTTCCAGGACATCTCGAACTATACAGTAAGACTGTCATAAAATCACTAGATAGATGATAGATATAGATAGATAGATAGATAGACAGACAGATAGATAGATGATAGATATAGATAGATGATAGATAGATACATAGATACATAGATAGATGGATGGATGGATAGATAGATAGATAGATAGATAGATAGATAGATAGATAGATAGATAGATAGATGGATGGATAGATAGATAGATGAGGATGTCTTGAACTTCTGGTCCTACTGGGATGGAACCCAGGGCCTGTGAGTCTGGGTTGCCTGCAAACAGCTCCCAGTCAGAGTTCTCTGAGGTTCTGGAAATACCTTGAGACCTCTGTCTTTCACACTCATGTACACACATGCCTATATACCTTTACATATATGCATAAACATGTATATATAGCATACACAAAAGAACACACACACACACACACACACACACACACATACACACACACACACACCCATAGCCCTCATCTCTGTGTGCCAAGGCGAAAGGAATCTGATCATGGCAGGTCTCTCCCTATGGACTTGGAGAGAGGAAACAGCCCGAATGATGTTCCGTTCACCAGCCTCTGGTCACACTGCATAGCCAAAGGACAGTGTAGCCACTGGGCCTGCCAGCTGCCTCCGAGGACGCCAGCAAATGTTCCCTAACATCCCCTAGCTGATCCGAAAAAAAACAAGCACCTGGGACATAAAACCAGGCCACACGCAGAAGCCTCCGGCTTGCCCAATCACCGCATCCCGCCAAATGTCTCAGGACTTGCTACAGGCAAACAAAACGTTTCATTGCACCCAAATTATCCTCTGGATTCTTGAGGAAAAAAACGCCATTTCTTTAAACACACCTGCTCCAAACCCTGAGGTCTGCAAACGGCCTCCTTGGGCAAATCAAACCCTGATGGCTCACTTGAGCAGCCAATGCCCCTTGGGGTAGAACATAAGGTCTCCCTGGCATCCCACAGGGGTGAGACCGGGCAGTGGAACTCTGCTGAGGTCTGGCTCTCGGGTCTGCCTATATGTCCACAGGCCAGCGGGTTGCCCTCTCTGAATGTCATCCTCCTTAACGGTAAGACGGAGATTATGAACGGAAGATCTCCCTCACAGGCTGCCAGTCTGTTTAATTTCTTAATCCAGTGCCAGGCCACACACAGTAAGGGCGCCACACTGTCCTTACACAGGGGCCGTCATTAGCAAGGAGCAAAGGGAGTCACGCCACACTATGTGATCCACACATACGCCCGCCCCATGAAATAGGCTTGTCCCCTCCCTGTGTTTGCTGCCCCATCCCGGCCAGCTGCCCCGGCCCGGTGGCTCGATACTCACGGAGGTGGTGAGCATAGCGGAGATGGAAGGTGTCACAGCCGTGAACGTGATGGTACAGAGTCTTCTCTATCAGGTCTTGCGGCTCATAACCCGTAAGCTCTGTCACCCTGTGGAGGGACGGCGGGTTCCTGAGTCAAGCTGCTCTTAGGCCCCTTCCTCTAAGCCAGGGTTCGCTTTGCCAACTAATCGAGTGTGAAGAGGCCCAGAGGTGGGAGATGTTGACTTTGGAATGATTTTTTTTTACAGGAAGGAAGTCTTTGAACTCTACCTCTGGGTAGGATGTAGAACTGTGAGCAAGAACGTTCTGGAATCTCGGGCTACCAGCAAGTTTGGGACGACTTTAGCAATTTAGACCTTTCTTGAGCCCTGGCTGTCTGTGGGCGCCCAGGGGGCTGCTTTGATACAAGCATTGGAGTAAGCTGTGTGATGGGGAGGAGCCACTCTGGGGTCGTCTTGGGACAGTCCTTTGTGAAGCTGTGTTTTGTTTTATGTGTGGATGAAGGCCTGGGAGCCCCAGCACACTCCCCCACCCCGACACCGCGTCTTTGGCTTCCGGTGCTGGGATGGTAGGCTGCGTTGCCACTCGAGGCTTCTGTGCCTCCTGGGGGATCTGTACTCGGGCCGTCCCCATGCTTACACAGCAGACCCTCTGCCCACTGATCCATTTCCCTGGCTCCTTTATTTGTTTAATTCTAATGAGACATACATACCACAATATTCACTGCCTTCAAAATTTTATGTTCATGATTCAGCGGTGTTAACACCCACCATGACCACCTTCCCAGGCTTTCTCATCGCCCCAAACAAAAGGGATTCCTAACCTTCAAAACAATGCCTTTTGCTGGGCGGTGCTGGTTGCGCTCGCCTTTAATCCCAGCACTCAGGAGGCAGAGGCAGGCGGATCTCTGTGAGTTCGAGGCCAGCCTGGTTTATAAGAGCTAGTTCCAGGACACCTAGGGCTGTCACACAGAGAAAGTCTGTCTCAAAAAAAAAAAAAGAAAGGAAGGAAGGAAGAAATAAAGGAAGAAAAAGAAAAAGGAAAGAAAGAAAGAAAGAAAGGAAAAAGAAAAAGAAAGGAAGAAAGAACCGAATTATGCCTTTCAGTCTCCCTTCCCCTTTGTCCCAGCCTTGTCCCTCATTCAACTTCCTGTCCCCTGAACTTGTGTCCCAAATCGAAACGATACCCTCTGTGACCCTCTAGCTTCTGCCTTCTTTCTACTTTCTACAGGGTAAAGTGTTTCAGGCCCACATGTCATTTGTAGTGTGCGTCCGGAGCACGCCTTTCTATGACCGAACGCTACTCTTTTATTATCATTATTATTATTATTATTATTATTGCATTTTTAAAAATTAGAAACAAGCTTGCTTCACATGTCAATCCCAGCTCCCTCTCCCTCCTCCCTCCCAGCCCCCCACCAGCCTCCCATCTAATCCCCACTCCCTTCCCCATGGGGGTCTCCAAAGTCTGTCATTTCTGTTCAGGGTGGGGTCTAGGCCCTCCCCCAAGAATCCAGGCAGAGAGAGGAGCATCCCCTCGATGTGGTATGGACACTCAAAGTCCATTTGTGTGCCAGGGGTAAAAACTGATCCGCTGCCCAGGCCCCATAGATTGCCCAGGCCTCTTCACTGACACCAAATGCTACTCTTATTTCTTGTAGATGCCACACGCTACGTTTTGTTTATTTCCTGGTCTGTCCCCACTTCTTAGCTCTGCACTGGCCGCTTAAACCTAGCATTTCATGAAGGATTCCCCACAGTCACGAACCCCCCCCACACACACAGAAAACAGTGCAGAGACTGAAAATATCCCAGCTAGAAGGTGAGCAGCAGAAGTCTTCCCCAGTTTGCCTGTGATATGATCCCTCAGCTCCCATCAAGTCCCAGACGTGTTAATTTCCCACTTCCGCACTTTGAACAGAAATGACGGGCCGCGTCGGGTCGGGCCGCCCTTTCCGTGGGCGACACTGTGTGTGGCAGTGGCGTGGCTTCACAGACTTGCCCTAACCAAGCTGGGAACTGCGTCCTTAGGAGAGGTAGGTGGCCCTAAGCACGTTGGTGACAGATATTCCAGGACAGATAAAAGGGCAGACTAAAGGGTTCCAAAAGCAGCATCGTGGCAGCAGGAGGTAATTTCTGGGGGGGAGGGGCAGGGGGGGTCACTGAAGAAGCCTGAAGAAGCATTGAGGGTCCCTCTTGCCAGCTGTGAAACCAGCTGTGAAACACTAGCTGGTCCTTCACAGACAGAACCAGGAAACGTGACCCCACTTCCCTTCTTTAATCTGCTCGGACCCTGGATCGGACCCTGGATGGACCCTAGATCACCCGTCTCTGGGAGCCTCAGGTCTCCTTGGAATGGTTCTCCGTCTGACACATATATTCCCATGGCATCCCTCTAAGATGGGGAGGGATCGGGGCTCCGGGTAAGTAGATGGGGAATGTCACTGGATCTCGTCCAAGGACTCAGTAGGGTCTGACTGGGTGGGAGGAAGGCAAAGAAGGCTGACCACCAAAGAAACCCAAATGTCTGTGTGGTGTGGACTGAGAGGTTTATCCAGCTCCTCCTCCGTCTCCTCCTCCCTCCCACCCCGACCATTGAGCTAATACAGCAAGGACCTGAACGTGTTGAAGAATCAGAAACACGTCACCACGTTCTCATCAAAATAGTCACCATCTTTAAAAATTAAAGGGCAGGGAAGGGGCTTGGCAGGATGCCCTCCTGGGTTGGTCCAAACCTCCAGTGTCTGTAGAGCTGTCAGAGAGATGTGCCAGACTCCAACCATCGCTGGCTTTACCCGGCCTTAACAAAAGCACAAACTGAAACCACAAAACCCAGAGGATCCGAATGACAGGTTAAGCCGAGTTCAGCTGCATCTGGGACCATGCGGGGTTGGCAGCCAGCAGCTGCTCCCCCAGGGCCACCACCCTTGTTCCTGTGACTTGGGGGAACTTAGGCCAACACCCTCCCTGCTGTAGCTCCCGGGGCTTGGATGCTGAAGTAACCACCCATCTGATTACCGCATTCCTCCCAGAGCTGGCTGGCTGCAGCCAGAGAGGCCTTTCAAGGCCATGTCGCGGCAATGAGACAGAAATGCAAATGACCCTGAAGGGTCCCAAACCCCCTAAGTGTCTCCTACATGACAGTAGTCTGGCTAAGCTAGACTCAGCCCTTCACAGAAAAAAACTCTCCACATTTCAAAGTGCCGTGGTCTGAAGAGCCAACCAGAAAACACTTTGGGTCACTACTCTGGGGACACAATCTCTTCTTTCCCCTTTGAGAGAATTCAGCTGAGCTGGTCTCTTGGGAGTTTTCTTAAATTGCCTGAGAAATACAAGGAGGCTGTGCTGACTAGTTTTATGTCAACTTGACAAAAGCTACAACCATCTGAGGGGAGGGACTCTCAATTGAGAAGAAAATGCCGCCATAAGATCCAGCCCTATTAGAATTCATGCCCTGACTTCCTTCAGTGATGACGTGTAAGTGTAAGTTGGATAAACCCTTTCCTCCCCAACTTGCTTTTTGGTCATGGTGATTGTCACAGCAACAGTAACAGTAGTTGGAGGTCTCTCATCCAGGTTCCCAAATAACCACCCTAAGACTTAACGTTGACTACAATCGTTTGACCAATGGCTCAGGCACATTACTGACTAGCTCTCACAATTAAATTAACCCATTTTTACTAATCTGCGTATCACTACGTAGCCGTGGCTTACCGGTAATGCTACATGGCATCTCTCTGACTTCTTTCTCTCTGTAACTCTGTGTGAATTTCCCACCTGGTCTTATTCTGCATGGCCATCTGCCAAATCGGCTTTATTTGTCAACCAATAAAAGCAACACATATTCTCAGCATACAGAAGGACATCCCACATTGTAACTCTAAGTAGGACAGAGGTAAAGAGGAGATGGAAACCAGTTGTTTCCTCTTCAGTCATGACCTTGGACGATCCACGTCCAGCCCACCTTCAGAAGAGCGCCTGTCATCCTACCTGCCAGTCTCTGAGGAAGCTCACACCCTCCCCAGCCTGCTGTCCCTGTTTCTGCAGGAGACAAAGTGGAATTCGCCGCCATTCAGCCTTCCCAGAAGGAGCTGACCAACGTGTTCCATCTACTCTTCACGTGGAATTTTAAGGTGACTCTGCCTCCTGTCATCCCATCTGCCTCACTTCCAGACCCTTTGAGTGCCTTCGATCCTGACTAACTTCATGTCTCCCGTGCCACCCTGGGCCAGATAGATTTATCACTTCTCAGGAAAGAGTAAGTGGGCAAAACTTTTGCTCACTTTCATGGGATGTTTTAATGCCATGTATTTCCTTTCTTTGTAAGTTGCGGGGGTTTTGTTTTGTTTTAGGCTTGGTTTCTTTGAGGCACTTTTGCTCCTGTAGCCAAACTTGCCTTGAATCTGCCTTAGGTTAGTTAGCCTGAAACTCATAATAATCGTCCTGCCGGCCGGGCGTTGGTGGCGTACGCCTTTAATCCCAGCACTCAGGAGGCAGAGGCAGGCGGATCTCTGTGAGTTTGAGGCCAGGCTGGACCGACAGCCTCCAAAACAATCAGAGAAACCCTGACTCGTAAAACCAAAAAACAAAAACAAAAAAAAATCATCCTGCCTCAGTCTCACCAGCAGGAGAATTACAGATGTGAGTCTTCACACAACTTTTCATAACTTGAAAAAAAAAAGTAGAACAGAAAGAAATCAGTAGCCAGCGTAGTAGTGCATGCCCATAGCCTCAGCTTCTCATAAGGCTGAAGCAGGAGGATCACTTGACTCTTGGAGCTCTTGGAAGGACCTTGCCCTGTGCCGCCAAGGAACCCACAAGCCAAGTAGCAACACAGCCTTGCAGGTATCAGAGGCTTTGAGTTTTCAGCTGCTTCCCACCTGTTGTCTAATTTCACCTTTCTGAAGTGCGGCTGACTGAGACATTTTACTGAACCACAGCGGAAGAGGCCCAACCAGCTAATATCTGTGGAGACCGGGGACGTTCCAGAATGTGTAGGACACCAGTATCAAAACACCGCAGATGTCTCATAAAATATAGCTTCCAGCTACCAATTAGGCAGTAAAATCTGAAAGGACAGGTGTGATGGCCTTTAAAACCAGCACTCGGGAGGCAGAGGCATGTGGATCTCTGTGAGCTCGAGGCCAGCCTGGTCTACAGAGCGAATTCCAGGACAGCCGGGGTTGTCCCTTTTGAGACCCTGTCTCAAGACAAACACAAGCCATGTAACTCTGGAGCCCCAAAGCTCACTCCAGGTAAGTTCAGCGGCAGCTCCAGCCCGGCCTCATTCTGTCCCCCTTCCCCAGCCAAACGGTGACACGGTGACACGGTGCCCACAACTGTAGTCAGCCCCCCCCCCACTAACTTAAGGTGGGCTGTCACAGAGGTAGGAGTTTCACACACAGCTCAGAAGGGAAAATCTTTAATCCCAAAGTCCTAGCGGTGTGATGAGGGAGGACTTAAAGCTCCCAGGAAGGGAAGGGAAAGAAAATGTGATGGATGGTACCTGCGGTCCTCACACTCCAGAGGAGGAGGCAGGGGGACTGAGTAGTCTCGAGATCATCCTAGGACACATAGTGAATTTGGGGCCAGCCTGGGCTACACGAGACCCTTCCTCAAAAGCAAACGAGAGGATGGGGGAGGAAGGAAGAAAGGGAGGGTCCTCTCACACCATAGCATGTATCCTCACCACAAGCTTATAAGATGACTCAGATGTTAGGTGGTTAATTGAAACAAGTCTCTGCATCCTGTCTGTCACGAGTTTGTCCCTTCATGCCTAACCCCTGGCTAATCCGAGCCCTTAGTAGTCCTTACTCCTTGTTATAGTTTGCCTCAGCAACACTCGGCTCTCAAGGACTATTTCTCACCACGGGGACCTTCCGGGATGTCACAGCAATGGTCCCAATCAAGCGCCAGACTCACCTGGAATCCAGGAATATGAGCTTCAGGTCGAGGCTGGCCCTGAACATGAACATGTTACTGTGCAGCTTGATCTCCGTGATGGCACTGGGCGGCAGGGACTGGCCCACGGCCACCAGCCCCACGATCTGGTAGCAGGAGTCGCAGAGGGACATGTCCAGCATATACTGCCTGATCTTCAAGTAGCCACTGCAATGGATGACCTGGGAAGGAGGGCAGAGGCTTGGGTGGGCACCACCGCTCGTGGCCTAGGCTTTGAGTGTGTGTTTTGTGTCTCTTCTAAATGCTAGAACACGCTTCAGCCCATTTTCTGCAGAGTTGTATCGTCAACAAGCTGACAGAAGCCTGATCAGGAGAATCTATGTCTTTGCCTTAAGAAACAAGCATTTCCTATCCAGACAGGTGTGTAGGAGGCTGTGGTGAGATTTTGCTTATGATCTAACAAATAAAGCTTTCCTGGAGATCAGAGTGCAAAGTTAGCGACATAGAGGCTGGGTGGTGGTGGTGCAGGCCTTTAATCCCAGCACTCAGGAGACAGAGGCAGGCAGACCTCTGTGAGTTCAAGGCCAGCCTGGTCTACATGAGAGGGAGTCCATCTAAAAGACAGATAGAGCTCACCCCTTTGGTCCCTAGAGGTGGGGAGACAGGAGTGACACGGCTGGGCAGAGAGAGGACTATAAAGCAGGAGGAGGTAGGAGTGCATTGTGGTCTAGGCAGTAGGATTCCAAGGTGTGGTGGAGGCAGATGCGGTTGGATTAGATCTCAGGATTCGTGGAGACAGGATCGCCCCTTCAGTCTGAGCATTGGTGGAGGCGAGAACTCGCTAGCGGCTGGCCACTTTGCTTCTCTGGTCTTCAGCTTTAACCCCAGTGTCTGTCTCTGGGTTGTTATTATTTGTGCCACAGGGGGAAACATCACGGATCCACACTCACTAACATGTGATGGGTTTGCGAGTAAACTCATGGCCGAGTTTGACTCAAACACAGCAAAGACATGCTAAGGAATTAGTTGCCCTCCTATGAATGCTTGCCAGTAACTAAAATGTTTTCCAGCTTCCATTGGGATTAAATTCAGAAAATTAAAAAGTCTCTCAATATAATTTGTATTTATTTAAATTCTTTTGGCCAGTGCCTCATGCTGGCATGGCAAGGATTTTTACCAACTGAGCTGTGGGGACACCAGACCTTGAACAGAGACCCACTTCCCCTTCGGCCTGGGAGCATCATCTTCCTAGGCCAATGTTTGGAACTTTTAATTTGTTTATAATTCTAATTCTAACAAACAAAAGCCACTCTACAGAGTGAGTTCCAGAACAATTAAGGCTACACAGAGAAACCCTGTCTCAAAAAACAAGAATAAATATAAATAATAATCCAGAGTACCTGGCCCGCTCTTGAAGAGCAGCCCTCTCAATAGCTAGAGAGTCAAAGACCGCACTGGAGAAGCCATACGGCGTCCAGGGCAAATGATGGAGAAGCCATACGGCGTCCAGGGCAAATGATGGAGAAGCCATACGGCGTCCAGGGCAAATGATGGAGAAGCCATACGGCGTCCAGGGCAAATGAGGTACCCAAGGGCACCTGACCCATCTTACACCCACGATTAAGTAAGTGTGTTTGCCCTGTAAACATATGAAACCCAACCAGGACAATGACTGGTAAAGCAGTGGTCACCTGAGCCCTTAGCCCTGTTTCTGTAGTCTCTGTCTCTGTCCCCCGTGCCCCACCCCATACCCCACTCCGTGCCCCACCCCGTGCAGGGTCTCATGTAGCCTAAGCTACCTCAAACTCACGACATAATGGAGGATGACTTTGAACTCGTCCTTCTGCCTCCCAAGTGCTGGGCTTAAGAGGTGTTCACTACCAGACCCAACTGAAGCAGTGATGGGGATGGAAACCAGGGCTTCCTGTGAGCTAGGCAAAGTCTACCAACTGGACTGCACTTGAGCCCACACAAATTCTCTTTTCAAAAAATTCTCTTTACAGGACTCACAGATTTACGGAGCCGGAAGAAATCCTACAGCCTCCCCATACTAGCCTATTCTCCCATTTTCCTGATGGGACAATGGAGGACAGGACAGACAGGTGATGTGTGGATGTACAGTTGGACAGCCGACAAGCGGCAGGAACTGGTAAAGTTCTGGGCCCCCCGAGGATCACATGGTTGGGTTCGGGTAGAGAGCTAAGGGCTTCCTGACCTGGCTCAGGGAGGCTTCGTAACTGGGAAAAATGATAAAAGTCCATCCCTCAAGCCGTAAAAGCACGAGATGCAGGTGTGCTGGTGCTTGCCTGGTGTGTGTGAGGCTTAATCCCAGCCGAGCAAAAAGTAACTACGTAAAATAAAAGTGAAAAGTGGGGTTAACGTCAGGGTCAAAGGAGGAGTTCGCTGGCGGGAAGACGCTGGGCTGAGAGGGGGGTGTTCCAAAAAGAGACACACAAAAGCCTCTCAGCACCCAAGTCCACCTCCCTCCTTTCCTAAGGAGCAAGTGAGAGGGGGCGGGGTACCAGCTCAAACGCCTCCAGCTACAGAATGGCGGTGGCACACAGCCCCTACCCCCCCCCAGTAGGGAAAAACAGCACAGGAGACTCCTGCAGGAGGCTGGGGAACTCCATGAAGGGTCTGCAGGGATCCCTGGTGGACTGTCTGGGCCCCACCCTCCTACCAGCTGTCAATCCCTCTAACACTGAGGGATTGACAGCTAGGCAGGTAGTGGATCAGGCGCTGGTTTCCGGAGTAAACCTCAGCAAGTGGCATTATCTGGTGGAGCGGTTCAGCCAGGGAGAACCGTGGGCTGGGCTAGGAAGTCTCAGCTGTGCCGCTCGGCCGGGCACCCTCTCCCTCCTCCATTTGCCTCCCATTCTTGAGGATAAAATAAGGCCGGTGCCACTCCCTTCAGAAGGCCCAGATGACCAATTGGATGTGGTGTGGGCAGAGACAGCACTGGTCGGCACGTGGGAAGGCCTCGGTGGCTATCGTGAAGCCCCATCTCGGGTACCGGGCTTAGTTGAACATGCCAGTCGTGAGAGCAACATCTCTGTAAAGCAACCGCTCACGGCGGCGGCTCTGGGATCCTGCCCCGGGAATGCGAATGGATGCTCAACTAACACAAGGGGCAGCTGGTCCAGCAGAGCTGATCCGCGGCAAGCAACTTGGAACTGTTAGATGCAGGGACAAATGTCTCCGCTAAGCCACTGCAATCCTGGTCTTACACGGTGAAACCCAAGCAGCCTGGAGCATCCGAGTAAAGGGCCAGGTCTCTGGGCTCATAATCCACCCCAGGCCTCGCTCAATCCCCTGTGCTGACAGAGATGACATGGCGCCCTCCCTCCTGTCTCAAGTGTGGAGTAGAGTGTGGGATGCATAGTGAAGACCCCCGCCAGCCATTCCCACCCCTGCCAGGAGCCCAGCGTACCTTGTAGCCGCTGCACGTCAGGCCCGCGTTTCTTTTTGCCAAGACGCATTTCATCCGAAGAAAGAAAGACCTCTCTATCTCGTACTCTGAAAGCAGAGGCACAGTTAGGCAGGCACCCATCCTGCCCTCTTCCCCAGCAGCCAATCCCCAGACATGGAAGCCAGGGGCTTCCTCGTCCATGACCAGACCCTGACCCAGAAAGCTCTGCCAACCAGAGAACCAACGGGTTTCCAAGATTCCTGACAGAGCGACACTTTCCCTCTCGAAGGTCACAGAGGAACTGACTGCTTGAGCCCTTGGAAAGGCCCAGGAGGGTCTAACTTCCTTGAAAGTAGCAGGTACCGAATGCCAGTCACAACTTAGCGCTCGTCCCAGGCAGAGGGAGCCAGCTACATGGTGGGCCGTGAGACACCACAGCTGGGTGAGATGGTTGTCATTTTGGAACACCCTTCCCGAAGTCTTTACCTCTCTAGGGCTCCTCCATGATGGCTCAGCCTTTAGCTGCTAAGTCAGCAACTGGCCTTTTCCTTCCTTCCTTTCTTCCTCCCTCCCTCCCTTCCTTCCTTCCTTTCTTCTCCCTCTGTTAAGAGAAGCTTTTTCTTTGTGAGAAACCTTCCCGCCCGCCTGGTTCTAGAGCCTCATCAGTCCCCTCCCTCCTTTCTCGGCCCTTACACAGGAGGATTTTGATACCTGGAACTGTAACCCCAGGTACACAGTAGACCCAGTCAGCACGCTTCATGAGGCTGCCTGCCAGGAGAGTTGCAAGGCCTGGGCCTCTGGGATAAGCTGTGTTATCTTCCTAGTGCTCATCACGGTTGTAATTTAAGGAGGCATGTATGTATGAGTGTGTGAGTGTGCGTGTGTGTCTGTGTCTGTGTCTGTCTGTGTGTGTGAGTGTGCGTATCTGTGTGTGTGAGTGTGTGAGTGTGTGAGTGTGTATGTGTGTGTGTGTGTGTGTGTGTATGATGCCTAGGGCTTCTGAGCCAGTCTGTGTCATGGCACACAGTCTGAAATCCCTGCTCAGAATGCTTCCAAATGTATAAAATAGATTATAAAAGAAACCAGCAAAAAATAAAATAAAAAAATAAAAAAAGAAACCAGCTACGTAAGGGAAGAATTACAAAAAAATTTTAAACATGGCAATATGAATATAACTCTCTGCCTATCTAGTGTGTTAAATTAAGTTTCAGTCACGGGCCTCAACACTCAGTAAGCTTCCAAGTATCCACCGCATAAATGTCCTGGCATATCCGCAATGTCTGTAGTAACAAAGCCAGGGTTCTGATGACCGCAGCGTGGCTGAAAGCCTCCGATCACAGGCAAATGAAATGCTGAACTGCACCTAAGTTACACAGACACGATTTCCCTGTTACCTCACAGTCTCCAGTCCCTGACCCTGTCCTCAGCAGCACCCGGCTGGACCTAACTCCTAACAGGCAGCACTGGGATTTTAAACCAGGGGCATGTGAGGGGAACAGCCTGTGACCCGATGCAGAACAGCTTATAGCACGCCGTAGGGGCTCCATAACTGTCAGTGAAGACAGAGAGGCAAGCTGGGCACAGAGTGACAGAGCGTTCAACCAGCATGCACAAAGCCACCGGCTCGATCCCGGAGCGAAAGTGTGGCTACACACACTGAGTGGCTGCTGCCATGAGCCTGACGCAAACCCAGCCCGCTGGGAAGCAAACCCCAGGTTAGCGTAGGAGCGTGACCTTGCTTCACTCTGGTCTCCTGTGCTGTGGAGGACGAACCTTGGAGCAGGTGGTGGTGGAGGGGTGGGTGGGCTGTAAGCACTGCCGTCATCTCATCGTGGTCGGAAGGATGAATGTACTCGTAAATACTGTTGCCTGTGAGCTCCACCTGCAGAGGGAGGGAGGTGGACACGTCACAGGCCTCTCCAGGGCCGGGGGGGGGGGGCACCGGCTCACATCCTGCCTGGGAGAGGACTTGCGGCTCACACCTGCTCACATCCTGCCTGGACACACCTTGGCCAAAAGCAGAGGCGGGAACATGCTCCTGTTTGCAGAGCTCTGAACTGTGTGTCCCCACCCCGACCTGGAAAAGGCCAGGAGCACAGGCTTGAGCTTCCAGAGAGTCCTGGGCAGAAGAGACACACCGGAGCCTGGGCAGCGTCCTTCAGACAGAGAGCATCTCAAAACAGGCTCACCCTGGGGCTCCGTCCTCCTCCCTCACTTTCCTGCTGTGTGAGGGGAATGGCCAGCTGGAGACCAGCTGCCTGTGCCTTCTGCGTGCCCTGGAGAGCCGCGTCCACTCAGAACCTGACCAGCTGGAGACCATGGAGGACTGTCGTGCCACTCAGACAAAGGCCCCTTCTGTGTCAGCGCTGAACCATGGCCCCGGGCACTGCCAGAGCTCCCTGGTGTTGCCAGGAACGTGTCTCTGACCCTCCTGGTCCAAACTGACCGCTCATTCTATAGTCTGCAGAGGTGTGGCCATGTGGCATGACCTGAGGGGGTGGGGATTACACAACAAGAAGCAGCAGTTGCCTCCTGAGGTGGCTAGCTCAACATGTGGACATCACCAACTCCCTGACACGCCCGCAGGGAACCCCCCAGCAGGCCTCTAGGCCCAACACACGTGTGGGACAGGGCCGTGGGAGGGGTCTTCTGTTTGGTCCTCCTGAGCGGTGATAATGGGTCTTACATTTAGAGCTACCATCAAACGAGCTGAGAGGCCCAACATGCACATTGAGTCATCGTATCCAGTATTACTCAGGAGCACCAGGAGCGGCGGGGTGAATTCCAGCAGAGCCACTTGACTTCAAAGAACAGCCAGTGTAGGGAGAAACCCAAGGCACACTCGGACAGTGCCCTAGGGTGGCAAAAAAAAAACCAAAAAAAAGCAAAAACTAGGGTGGATCTGAAGATTTCTCAGCCCTGCCCAGGCAGAGGGCAAATCAAGATGACAGAGAGAGGGTGTGCTGCCCGCTGTCCCCAGCCGTGGACACTTTAAGCGGGTGGTACTGAGGGTGTATCAGACAGTGTTGCTGTGGGTCACATGACCATCTGCCCAGGGGTGGCTCTGACTGTGCCCCCCTCAGGAAACAGCTTAGGGGCATGCTTTCCGGGGACCCACAGCCTCACAGCATCCAGCCTGAAGAGGTGACGGCTTCCCCCATCCTTCCAGTTTGGCAAGACCTGGGAGTTACTTTTGCCTCTTGACCCAAACTGCATTTCCTAAGTCTTGCCCCGAGAATCGCATCCATCATTCTATTTCCTGCATCCTTTGTGGGGTCTTTCCTTGGAGTATTACGCAAGCAGCAATTCGGAACCCAAGGACGGAGCTTCTCCATGCCACCCACTTAACCTTCACACTCCAAACCCGCGGCTCCGCAGCCAACCCCAGTGAAGATCTGCCTGTGTGAAGACAGTGCGTGCAAGGACTCCAGCTGACACTCGCAGCAATGATGGAGAGGGTGCCTGGACTGGCTTTCCCCTGTAATCAGATTGGTGAATACCCCAACTATCATCACAGAGCCTCCATCCAGTAACTGATGGAACCAGACACAGGGATCCACAGCCAAGAACCAGGCCGAACTCTGGGAATCCAGGAGAAGAGAGGGAGGAGGGAACATATTAGCAAGGGAGTTGGAGACCATGATGGAGCAATCTACAGAGACAGCTGAACCAAGCTCGTGGAAACTCATGACCTCTGGACCTACAGCTGTGGAGACTCCAGGGACTGAGCGAGGCCCTCCGTGTGTGGGAGACAGTTGTGAAGCTTGGACTATCAGAGGGTCCCTGGCAGTGGGCCCACGATACAACCCAGGGACATGAGCTAGCTTGCTGGCGCCCATTCCCTGTGGTGGGATGCCGTGCTCTGCCTTAGTGCATGGGAGAGGGACCAGGCCCTGCCCCGACCTATTGTGTCAGACTATGCTGACTCCTCATGGGAGCCCTAACCATGAGGAAGAGTGGACTGGGGGTGAGCTAGGGGGGAAGCGAGGGGGGACGGAAGGAGGGGTGGGAGGGAGAACTGTGGTTGGAATGTAAAATGAAGTAAAAAAAATTTTTTAATGGGAAAAATTTAACTATAAAAAATATAGTGATTGACTTTAAAAACATCTTCAAATTAAATAAGATTATTGGTTTATTACTTGTTTATTTTCATGTGTCTATTATTGTGTGTGTTGGGGAGGCGTGCACATGTGAGGGTGTGTTGTGTGTGTCTATTGTGTGTATTGGGGAGGCGTGCACATGTGGAGGTGTGTTGTGTGTGTTGGGTGAGGCATGCACATGTGGAGGTGTGTTGCGTGTCTTGGGGAGGCGTGCACATGGCGAGGTCCGAGGACAACTTTCCGGATTTGGTTCTTTCCTTTGCACGTGGGTTCTGGAAACTGACCTTGTCTGAACTTGATTGGCAAGCACGCTCCTCACTGAGCATCTCCCAGGCCAGAAGATTTCACAAAAAAAAGTAAAGATTTTTTTTCTTGCACAACTTTTTGTTAATCCCTAAAAGGTTTGACTAAGACAGCCACCTTGAAGCCAGTCGTTCGAGACAGGAGCATCACTTTCTCTGAAGGTGTCAGGGGATTCTCGGCCAAGGCAATGGGAGAGTCCAAACCCGCAGCTGACTGCTGGCTTCTTCTGGTTTTCCTTCCTACCCCCCACCAGCCTCCCCATCTATCCCCACCACCACCTCAGCGGCTTGTTTTAAAAACAACATAAAACAGAGGCGGGTGGATTTTACGCGGTCCAATTATTTCTCCCTTACTGTTTTAGAAGGAAGTGAGCGTTTGATCTTGGTTTGGTTTGAAAAAAGGCGCACTCTAGAGATGTCTCTGCAGACATCTTCGGAGACCCTCATCCCTGCCCCTGCGATCTCGGATTGAGAAACAGGCCTGCGTTTGTAATTAAACCGCCTCCTCTGCTTTCAAAGCTCCCGTTCTTGAGCACAAAGCAAGCCAAGATGGAGGACTTGGACTTTTGAACTCTGGGGTCCGTTATAAAATGAATGGAGGGAGGCATTGGTGGCACACACCTCTAATCCCAGCACTTGGGAGGCAGGCGGATCTCAGTGAGTTCAAGGCCAGCCTGGTCTACAGATCGAGTTCTAGGACAGCCTCCAAAGCTGCACAGAGAAACCTTGTCTTGAAAAACCAAAAAAATTTAATTAAAAAAAAATGAATGGGATAACTCTAAGCCTATCCAGGAAACCTCATAGCCTTCAAGTAACGGAAATGTCTTCATGGAAAAAATACGGAGTAATATATAACAGTGCTGACCTTAACTCAAAATCGTGGTTGACGCGGTGTTTCCGGATCTAGATATGAACATATGCTTTTGAATGCTGAAGGAAATGTGGCTCTCTCACCCCGGCCCCCAATATATATAAATATGTAGACATATATTTGTCTCCATGAAACTCCCAGGTCTCATACCTCAGTCTTATTAGGACAGAACTTCAATGTGATGTTTTAGTATCTATAAAACCCTGATGACTACAAAAGCAATGTCGTTCCTGCTAAGAGCTTTTTGATGCTTTGCTGAGTGTTTTCCTGCTGCCCAGAAAGCTGATATGGTAAGTTAGACACTAAAGGGGCAGATTCTGTGTGGAAAGGCAGAATCTTTGGGCCCCTGGGAAATGCGCACAGCTCTGCTGGGGCGTCTCGCTGAGTATAACGGATGAAGTGTTTTAAATTAAGATGGTTTGAGCTTCAGGGTTCAAGCTATGTAAGCAAACATAAGACACTGCCCTTCATTCCTGAAGTAAAGAGGATTCTGCCTTGTTCCCTTCTACGCCATGGCTGCTATTTTTATTGGCCAGTTTCTGGCATCCTTCTCAAATATTGCATTTTTCTTTATGTGTCCCATAAACAGCTATTTCACATGTGTGTACACGTCTTTGAAAATGAGTATTGGAGCCGGGCCTTGGTGGTGCACACCTTTAATCCCAGCACTCGGGAGGCAGAGGCAGGCGGATCTCTGTGAGTTCGAGACCAGCCTGGTCTACAGAGCGAGTTCCAGGACAGTCTCCAAAGCCACAGAGAAACCCTGTCTCGAAAAACCAAAAAAAAAAAAAAAATGAGTATTGTTTAGCAAGACATTGTGCAATACAACTGACTGAGCAGTTGCCTTCTGTGAGCTTTCACACAGCCTTAGAGGCTCCCCATGGCCTCTTTAAGGCTGAGCATCACCTACTTGGAAGACGTCACCGTAAGTTCTGAGAACACAGAATGGATGGCACCACGCACCTAGAAGCTGCAAGTGCCTCTGGCTGTCACTCATCAGAGAGCATTTTTAGGACCTCTAAGCTTGGTCTCCGGGAACCCATGGCTTCAAGCCACATGCCTACCACTGAGCTACACCCAACCCCAACACTTTTATCTCTAGTGATCTTATTTGAGAACTATCTTTACATAGATTTCATAACATGAATGTTTACACACTCTGTAGACAGGTTGGCCTCAAACTCAGAGACCTGCCTGCCTCTGCCTCACAAGTGCTGGCAGTAAAGGTGTGAGCCACCACCGCCCAGCATGCAAATCATGTTTTTAAAGAGTATTTGGCGTGGTATCCTGTAGCTGGAGTTTCTTTCCTGCCTGGACCCTCAGCCGTTTAGCAGTAATTAAAAACACTGACACATTAATATAAACTGCTTGGCCGGTAGCTCAGGCTTCTTATTGCCTAGCTCAAGTAAAGAAGACAGAAAAATCTGCAGATCTGCCTAGCTTTCCCTCTGTGGCATTGATTATGAGTAGGAGGTGGGTTGGGGACTCACCATGGATAGCCCCAGATATCAACAAAGGGCTTAGGGAGCTGCTGACTGGGGCTCACAGCCTTACTTGGGGATCAGGAAGAAATCTACACAACTGGTTTGGCTTCACTATTTAAGCTGTCCTTTCTTCGGGGTATGCATAATCAAAAGGAATCCCCCCCTCCAGCCTTCTTGCAACATAGTAGCACCAGGCCCCTCTCCCCTTTCAAAAGTGGCACTACCAAGCTTTGTTTCTGTGCCTGATCAAAAGGAAACTCGATACACAACTCATGTGGTCGCCTGGCTTTCCTTCTGCTGAGCTAATCAGGAGCAGGACGGCCAGGTCTGTCACCTAGCCCAGGCTCTGGTCATTCTTAATTAGAGTAACCATAGTCAATCTATCCTAGTACTGCCTGAAAAGAGAAAACACGACCAGTAGAAGCTGGCTGCTGGTCCAAGCCACCTACTGGAAGAAGTGGACACCCAGGACTGAGGCTGTGCCAGCGTGTTCCAAATAACGGCACCCCGTGAAAAGGCTCTACACCTGGGTTCAAATGAAGTTGCTAATAAATTACAAGATATTTATTCAACCTGTGCCTTCAGAGAGGGCCTGAGGCACGGTTTTAATATTTAAATAATGGTTCCCAGACATTAAGTGCCTGTCTAACCAGACAATGAAAACTATATAACTGACCCCATTTTTGTTTTGACTTTGAGGAGGCTCATATCTAAGTTTAGTATTCAATAATAGTGACTTTATTATTTTAAGAGACTACAGAGCGGTCAGCCTAAAAGTGCATGAAATGTTTTGTCATATTCATGACACTGTTGTAGGACTAACAATGATTTTACAAATTACAAACAAAAGTGAAAAATAATCTGATCAAGATAGTTTGACCGCAGATAAATCAGGAGAGTAAACCAGTCTGGGTACAGCTAAAGAACGGGTCCTGGCTAGTTCTGCTTACAATGATCTAGAAATTCATAGAAAAATAATACAAGACACATCCTCCTCCCTACCCCCTCCCTTATTCCTTCTCTCCCTCCCTCTCTCCCTTCTTTATTCCCTGTGTTGGGGATTGAACCCCTGAGCTCTGTTCCTAGCCCTGTGGACAGTAGATTCCATGTTGTCAACAGCATTTCCAGTATTTCAAGTGTGTCAATCCTATGAGTCACAGCGTACAAGACTGGAGCCTGAGTGAACTGTATTCAGAAGAGCTGGTCTCACTTTTTAAAGAAGGGAGTGAGGAAGAAGAGGGGGAGAAGAAGCAGGAGAGGAGGTGGAGGAAAGGAGGGAGAGAGGGGGACGTTTGTTGGAAAGAAACCTCCACCCAGCCTGGGCGGTGGTGGCACATGCCTTTAATCCCAGCACTTGGGAGGCAGAGGCAGGTGGATCTCTGTGAGTTTGAGACCAGCCTGCTTTAAAACAAAACAAAAACAAAACCAGAAACCTCCACCCAACTGTAACATGAGATTCACTTACTTGACTTAAGTAACACAGAGGCGCAGACCCACTTAGACAGGAGAAGGGCCTGCACAAGAGGAGTTTAAAACTGAACGGTTTAAAATGTGTTGCTTGGAGGAATAGCAAAAGGGAGCACAGCTCAAGTGGGTTTCCAAATTTGGTGACTTTTCCTCGTGGGGGACGCCCTTCTGTATGTATGCTGTGGATATATGTTTCTCTTACTGGTTGATGAATAAAGCTGTTTTGGCCAATGGACAGGCAGGATTTAGCAAGGCGGAAAATGCAAACAGGGACAGGGAAAGGTTGTAGGCAGAGTCAGGGAGACGCCATGTAGCTGCCGAGAAAGCAAGAGACCCAGGCATCACTGGTGAGCCAGGAGCACGTGGAGATACACAGAGGAACAGAAATGGGTTAATAAGTAAGAGAGCGCGAGCCAATAAGAACCCTGAGCCATCAGCCAAACAGTTTACAATTAATATAAGCCTCTGTGTGTTTATTTGGGACTGAACAGCCATGGGACCAGGAGGGACAGAAACCTCTGTCTACATTTCCCTTTCAACGAGAAGAAAGCTTCATTTCTGCTTAGCTACAGGAAAAAACCCCAAATTCAGAGAGTATTCAGGTGTCTCCAAGAGCCCATTCTCCATGTTATCACTAATTCTAGTGTCTTTGACGGTTGGCACGTAACAGAAACATCTAGTTCCGACTTCTATAAATAAAAAACCTCTCAGTGCTTCTCTTTGCACCGAGAGGTGACCACTGCACAGGCTCACGGCTGCTCAAGAGAATGAGTAGCAGCGTTGACCTCTCAACCCCAAACAGGACAGGTGTCTACCACTGCTGTGGGAGTGGAGAATCTGAAGGCTGGCATACAAGCAGGGGTGGGGGAGGGGCTCAGAGGTCCCACCCCTCGCTGTTGAACCACGGGGGAAGGGGGGCCATTGCCTTGTCTAATCACTGATGACCCCACAATCCTCCAGTGAGTAACTTCAGGCTGACAGTCACACCTAGGTTCCAGGTAAGCTCAGCAGTGGGCCAGGAAACAAAGTAAAAAAGACAGGACCACAGGGAAGGTGTTGATTGTGATGGGGTGGAGAAAAGGGGAGGGGTGGAGTGGCCGGAGGCATTGAACCCACATATAATATTGGTCAAAGAACAATTTAAAAAAATGTGACGTGCCACCATGAGTCATGAATGGAGTGAATGGGAGTGACCTTTCAGCCTCTCCCTGGTGTGATATGCCATTTGGCCCTCTAGCCAACTCCCTGGGGACAGACAGGCCGAGTCCACCTCCTTTCTCTGGGGATGGTATTCTAAAGGAATCAAGATATTGCACAGTAGTTGTGAGCTATGACGTTCTATCTCAAGCCTGTAACATGCTTTGCTGAAACCACTGCCGAACTGAGGAAAAAAAAAAAAAAACTAAGGAAAAATGACCCTGGGTTCCACAGGAACAACCCATGAGTCCACCCCTTCCTTATTAGTCTCTCCAGCACATTACACAAAACCCATGTTGAAAGTGAGTGTGCCAGGGGCTGGAGAGATGGTTCAGCGGTTAAGAGCACTGACTGCTCTTTCAGAGGACCTGGGTTCAATTCCCAGCAACCACGTGGCAGCTCACAACTGTCTATGATTCCAGTTCCTGAGTACCTGACACCCATAGCAAAACACCAACGCATATAAAAATTAGTAGATTTTGGTGACGCACACCTTTAATCCCAGCACTCGGGAGGCAGAGGCAGGTGGATCTCTGTGAGTTTGAGGCCAGCCTGGTCTACAGAGAGAGTTCCAGGACAGCCTCCAAAACAATACAGAGGAGTGTGCCTTTTGATCCACAGTATTTCCTGCTAAGGCATGCAGACAGTGAGCATGGGCAGAAGGGTCCCCTGGGGGAATCTCTTTTCCCTGCCACCTCACAATGCTAAGTGACAGGTCAGGAAATCTGGCAAACTCTCAGAACAGGGCTGACCACAGCTGAGATATACTGACACTGTCCTCAAGGCAAAAAAGAGAGTAGCCATGCAAATACGATTAGGGGAGTCCCCTGTGTAATGCCCAAGGAGGGGTTTATAACTATGGATTATGCTCACACATAAAAGCAGACCTTACACAGGCTCATTTCGGGTTGGGAAAGGCTGTCACAATGTTACCGTGTACTATTTCAATGGATCAGCAGACTCAGGCAGCACCTACCTGGGACAAGCCTAAATGGACAGAAGCGGTCTCAGATATATACATGATTTTGCCGTCAGAGGCCACCACGAAAACGAAGCCATCCAGAGTCTGTAAAGAGAAAGTGTCCGGATGAGAGAATGTGGTGACACGCAGCAGGGACTCCAGCAGCCAGAAGACACTGGGCTGGAGGGGAAAGGCTGAGGGGTGTTGCTTTGTGGGGGAGGGAGTTTGCTTAGCATGCATGGGGGCAAAACTATAAACGTGCATATTTGTTACGAGAAAAACTACAAGCCAGGGGCCATAAGGACTGCAGGTAAAGCTGCTCAACGCTGCTCTATTTCCCAAGCCAGGCTCCCAAAGGCTCTCAAAGCGCTTTTAAAACAACCTTACATTCACATTACAGAACCATGCAAAACATTCGAGAAGTCCTAACCCGCTCAGCTGGACGGCATGGCTTTATTGTCTGGGCTTGTTTTAGCACTTAGGACGAATCTGGGCGAGCGTTCTATGGTTCTTGGGGGAACATCTACCGCTCTACAGACTACTTAATGTGGGAACTGGCAGCCGCTTATACGGCTAGCACCAACGCTTTATTCGCCACAGTTTTCTAGTTACCCCTAAGTACCGTTTGAATAATAAATTCCTACAATCGCCAGAAAATAAAACAATACGTCCGATTATTCTACCAGACTGTGTCTACAGAATCAAGCATTTAGACTTTGAAAGAGATCAAATGACCTTTGCCAAAGTCAGGGAGGAAAAAAAGTATCAATTTCAGAAAAAAAATGAAAACGACTCCAGTGAAATTCTGATTTCTGTCTGAATTGGCTAACCCTCCAGAAACAACGTGAGATCGTAAAAAAGTTATTCAGACAACAATGAAAGCAACCACTGCACCATCAAGGGCAAAAGGACTAGATACTTCTTGAAAAGAAGAAACTATATCGTATTTGCTCATCTATATTTTAAGATCAGGAAGCCAATAAAGGGGCGGGGGACACAATAAAGTTGGTTTAAAAGCTCCATACATCTCACAGTGGGCACCCGTAAAAATATCCCAGGTTAATTTCTGGCTACAAATTCTATTTTTACAGCATGTAATTGAAAGCAGATTACTGTCGAGTTTCTTACTCCTCCACAGGGGTAGGGATGATAAGGAGAACGAGTAGAAATGAGACTTGAAGATACCCTTGTATGCTGCTGCATCGAGTAGTTAGCTACCAAAACCCCTTGCATTCCAACCTATCCTCACCTTCATTAAACTGAGGATGAAAATCACATTCTAACACTTCAGTTCCAGTTTAACCCAGCTGAGCAGTATTTTCCTAGCGGCATCGGTGACATTTCAGATACGAAAACCAAAAAATCCGTTTCTAACGTTCTGATCTGGGTGCTGGACTCCAAATGGGTGGTGGACATTTTAAAAGTTAACGATTAAAAGTTGGAAGTCGCCAAGTGTTCTCCAAGTGAAGTGTGGAGCGTCACTCCCATAGGAATTGCCCATACCGAAGATTTTGAAGACTTTACCCACTGGGTTTCTTCTAGGTACCTAGGTCTTAGTTGTCACTGACATGAATGTCACAGTACGAAGGGGTTTGGAGTACGAAAACAGTCGCTCCTGGCTGCAAGTGAGATCCCAGCTACCAAGAGGGCGCAGGCTCACCGGGCTACCCGACTTTCTCGCCACTCCGTCTGCTGCTACGGCTGTGGAAGTTCCAGGCTCCAAATACTGCCCCCATCTTCTCCTACCCCGGGGCACGGAGTTTTTAGGTACACCCAGGGTTCGGAGCTGGGCTGACTCCCCCACTGCTAGGGCCTTCTGCGAACTTTTTTTTTTTTGTTTAAAGAAAATACAAAATAGAAAAAGGGAAATGCAAAATAGCCATCGGCGGACATTTTTCGGTGGCAGAGACAAATGACGGAGTGGGGGGAATGAATCGTGTCGTTGATGGGACTCTGAGAACCGCATTGGAGATTCGAGGGAGGGAGGCGGAGGCGGCGCTGTCCTCAGCTACCCCAGCGGCTGAGGCGGAAGCGGCCTCGGGCGCCAGGGGTGCCCAGCCCCAACCGCAAGGCAGGGGAACTTTGTAAAGCCCGATGCTGGGCCCTGGGGAACCTAGTGCCTGACCCCAAATGAAGTAGGAGCTCCGAGACAGCTGGCCCTAGAGGTCGCCCCCTGCCTGGGTTATCGATGGGGCCACAGAACTGGACCAGTTCTTGTGGCGACCTCGTGGATGTTACTTATAACTCCCACGTCCTCAGCTTGCAGCTCAGAATAAAATGGAGGGAAGTGTTTGGGGGGGGCAGGGGGAGCAGCCAAGTGAAAAAGTGATTTGTTTGGGGTTTTTTGTTTGTTTGTTTGTTTGCTCGTTTGTTTTAAGAATCTGGCCCGGGGTTGGGGAGCCAAGGAGTGTCAAATATTCCCGTACTGCCCCGGTCTCAACTTCTGCGAAGGGGGAGAGCTTGGACGCTCTGTCTGCGAGCTGCGGCCACACCAGCTTTGTCTCCAGTGCCCGGCCCGGGTCTGTCACAGAGGGAAGCACAAGTGCCAAGGACAGTCCCACTCCGGACGGGGACGGATGGACACCGTGTTCCGGGGCTTGGATGAGCAGACACTCTGTGTTGCTGGCGGGGTGCAGGGTGTGGGTAGCGCGGGCCTGACTCTGCACTCCAAACGGAGGCACCCCGGGTGCCCTTGCCCGGCACCACTGGCCTGGAGGCGCTCCCGGGTCCCCCTCCCCTCACCTGCCATCTCGCGCGCGACCACGACGGTGAGGACGCTCGTCCCCATGCTCTACCTGCAGCAAATGGGATCCCAGCTCTTTGGCCACACTGTCCAGGGGTCCTGTTCTGCTCGGCTGTCCCCACGCGTCTCCTAGACCTGGGGCAAGGGAATAAAGCAAACCATTTAACAGCGGCACCCACAGACGCCAGACACGTGGACCCCCGCCCCCCCCCTGCACAGGAGCCCCAGCTCCTATCTCTGTCCAACACCCCGCCCCTGAGTCCTCGCTGGCGCCGTGTGTGTGTGTGTGTGTGTGTGTGTGTGTGTGTGTGTCTGTGTGTGTGTCTGTGTGTCTGTGTGTCTGTGTGTCTGTGTGTGTGTGGTGGGTTAAAAACCCAAAGCCTCGAGTCTGGACGGTGGTGACACGTGCCTTTAATCCTAGCAGTAGGCAGGGTCCCTGAGTTCGAGGCCAGGCTGGTCTAAGAGTGAGTTCGGGATAGCCTGAGCTACGCAGAGAAACCTTGTCTCTAAAAAACAAACAAAACCAAAACCAAAAGGCAAAACCACCAAACGGGGGTTGGGGTGGGGGTGGGGTGGAGAGGTGGGGAAGCATACAAACAGAAATAAAACCCCCAAAGCCGGAGGACAAACTCTCCCCCCCCGGGGGGCGCAGTCCCGGGTCCTGTCCCTCCCCTTCCCCCTTTGCTCCCAGAGCCCACCGGACCCACCGCTCCCAAGGTTCGCCCACGTGCTCACCGACTCTGAAATTGCCGTTTTATTTGAAATGCCACAAAGTAATCTAATCTGCTTTGAAATCGGCCATCCTCGGAGCCAAACAGGGGGGTGGGGTCGGGGTGGGAGTATCGATTTGACCAGTAAATATCCCCCCCAGGACCTTCCCACCCCACCCTGTGCAGCCCGCAAAGATCGTCAGGTCGTGTGACCCTTGCCTGGCTTCTGGGCGCCCACAGCCTCTCCGGAACTCGATCCTCTTCGATCCCAGAGCTCCAGACACAGTCGGGAGGCTTTTCGGGGCGCTTGTCTGTTCTCACACAACTAGGGGACCCTCATCCCCTCCACCTACAGGCATCCCTTCAGATCTGAGGCTTCCCAGCATCTCTCTCCCACCCCAGAGTGCACCCGGGGGAAAAGCCGGGCCCTTCCCAGTCTCCCTCACCCCCGCGTCCCTCCCCGCCCCGGCTAGCTGCTGTGTGACCCAGCAGAGGTTTTCCCCTGCCCACACTGAAGACAGGTGACCAGAGTCTCAGCGGGAGCTGGAGCCTCGGCCCGTCACCCGCAGCGCTCCCTCCTGGAACCTCTCTGCTTGGGGGAGCCGTGGGCCTAGCGGATGCGTCCTCTGGGGGAAACTGCAGGCTCGGCCAGTCTCCTTCCGCCCGCCCGAGTGCTTTTAGTGCTAAAGCTCGACACTCTGAGCAGGCGGGCACCCTGGCCAGCCTGAGGGATTGCAAAACCCCTCGGTATGGTTCCCTAAGCAAGAGTCCCCGCCGGCACGTGGCCTCTGAGCCTCCAACCTAGGAAACAGAAAACGTCCCCCGAAGTCCAGTAAAGGCTCCCTGGGAATCATTAGGAAACTAAAGAAAGAGCAACCTCTAATTTCTGCTCCCATCCAGGTCTTCACAGAAAGAGTGGGTAACTTACACACGCCCCCCAGGGGCTGCTCATTGTCCCAGGGCCCCCGAGCCTCCGCCCAGGAGCAAGGGTGGTTCCAAATCCGCTTCTCTCCAAGCACCCACACTCCGATCCCCCAGCACCGTTTGCTACAGGCTAGGCACCTTGTTTTGTGGAAAGGAAAGCTGGGGCATGGATCCTTTACCTCCACTGGAACAGCCTTGGAAAGAACCAAGGTGTAAAATCCACGGAGATTCACCGAGCGAGGAGAAGGAATTTAGTAAGGACTGGAAATCTAACTTCTGAACATGGACAGATGTGTTCCAGCAACTGTCACCTCCCCTGCCTCTGGGTCCTTCCTGAGTTCGGGTGGTGCTCCAGCCATAGAACTATCCTTGACCCTTGACCCTCGAGCAAAATCGCTGCCCCCCCCATGGCCTCGCAATGTTTCTGACTTTTCCCGGAGTCTTCTGAGACCCTTCCCATTTGGGAATGACCTCCAAATCAGACACCTCGGTCCTCGGGCTTCCTCGGAAACCGGTGGAAGGTCCTGTCTCCTGCGCACAGGACTATTTTCGGTATAGTTTAATTACCCGGATGTTTTTGTACATCACTATAATTTTCCTGTAACTTCTAGAAAATACGCCTCTTTGGGATCTGGCAGAGGCATCTGGGCTGCATGGGACAAATTCCTCCACTCCCCCACCACACACACACACACACACACACACACACACACACACACACACACGCAGCCACCTCATCCCAGAGCAGTGGGCCTGCCAGTTGTTCCATTAGGAGCCGCTACTGGAGAGGTCTTTTCACTCAGCCCATAAAAGAACACTTTAGGCTGAACTTAGATGCGGAATAAAGTAAGGTTTGTCGTGAGAAGAAGATGCCTGCTACTGGAAAATGCTACACACACACACACACACACACACACACACACACTCCTGAAAACTGAGGCACCAGGCAAACGGTCCTTATCTAGACCCAACCAAGGGATTTATGTATTTATCTGAAGAGTGAGGGTGGAGTTGCAGACTGGGTTGGGCTGCACCAGAGTTCATAGCTAGTGATGGTCAGTGACACTGGACCCTAAAACCGGCTTCTTCTCTGGAAAGCCTGAAGTCCCACCTCACCTGCAGTTTCCCAGGCTTAAGATCGGGCCCCCAACACTTATTAACCTTTAAGCCCAGCTGGGAGCCCCCAGATAGAAGGCCAGGTCGTATGGTGAGACTCCAGAGAGAGTGCTGGAGAGGGAGCCCTTTCTAGTGACTTTTCCTCCGCTGTCCTGGGGTCAGCACTTGACCCCACACTGCCTGGTCCTCAGTATCCACGCCAGCGGACCACTGACTGACATCAAGAAGTTAAGCCCTTGGTCAGTTGGCCAACAAACAACTCATGAACAACTTTGGGGGGTCTCAGCCAGCTCTTGGGGGGGTACCTCCAGTTGCCAATGACAGACCACAAACACTGTATTGCAGAACAAGAGATTTAGTACAACAAGGGAAGTTAATCTCTCACCAGGAGGCTAGCTGCCTGCTTGTAACTCAGGCGCAGCCAGCAATGCTGGGTTTTCAGATACCTTTGTATCAAACAGGACTCTCCAGGCCAGGAAGATGGGACCTGGGCTCTGGTGGGAGCAGAAGTTTCCACGTCTATTCTGTCTCACCCCTCAACACTGAGTATCTAGAAGTGGTGACACAGTCACCTTTCACGGTGAGCTTGTGAAAATTTAATGGCATTAACGCCCCCCCCCCCCCGCTTCCGAGGGTGTAAAACAAAGTTGGGAGCCTCCCTTTTTTCCTCCCTCCATTGTTTAAGGTGTTACCTCCTGAACTTCGGGCTTCCTCTGGGTCTCTAACCTCAACTCTAAACCACAGTGTCTTCGGGCTAAGTTAGGGAGAGCTATTGTAAGCGCTCTCGTTTGCGAGCAAGCTCCCTCCCCCTCCCTTCTGTGTCTCCTCGTCTCCCCTCCCCCAGTTAGCGCTATTGTAGAGAGGGGCGAGGACGTGTTTCTGGGGAAGGCAACTTCAAGCGGGTCAAAACGGGTGGGGGTGAGGAGGCAGCCCCTCACCTTCTTCATCCAAGGGCACACGCGTCTCCTAATCCCGCCACCCCCACCGTGTCTACCAAATGGACATGAGCACAGCGGGGATTCTTGCTCTGCATCCGGCCGGGGAGTTGCTAGGGCCTCAGCCGACAGGGGTGTAGAGAAAAGGTTGCCATGCTTCCCCAGGGGAGCCCACTGCTAGTTCCTCTGCCCTTTGTAGACGAACTCCCAGTAATTGTCTCTAGCTCACCAGTGCCCATCCCTTAGAGTCCTTCTGCCCTCTCCCGGGTCCCTGAAAAGGCCCCTCCTGGCACCCCCATTTTAAATTAGGTGGCCAAGGTGGACTGTGTAACGGGTGCAGCTGCGGAGAGTGGTTAGGGATGCCCGAAGGTAGACCACCTGCCGGTCGTTGGGGTCGCTGGGGCAAGGGAGGGTTTTCTTCAAGCTTTGGGCATTCCACCACAGACGAGAGTGTATACTCTCTGACACCCCGGCGAAGGCCCCCGAGAAAGCAACATCCAAGGCTGAGAGAACACTTAGCCCTACTAAGTGTAAGACACAGTCCCTTTGGCCACACCTTGGTGCAACCAGGCAAAGTCGGGCGCCTATGCTCATGGGAGAAGCTGCGTTCCCACCAGCAGCTTCTTAGTCCGCAGCACCCCAGCCCCAGGATTCCTTCTCCAAAGTCAAGGGTTGCACCAGGGACAGAGACAGCACCAACCCCTGATTGTCAGGCTCCAACGTGGAGATAGGGAGAAGGTTATAAAGACAAAACAAAAACAACTACTACAACAACAAAACCTACATTACTCTTAAATGTTAGTCTTTAAAAAAAAAGACAGAACAAGTTTTTGGATTTAGGCAGCAAAAGGACTCCAAGGTCTATAATTCCATATAGGCATAGGGCAAGAGTGTCCTCACTGAGCTCTCAAAATCAAATCATTTTGACCCGAGGCCGGTCTCTCCTGCCAGGAACAATGTGCTGGATCCGGAGGAAGCCCCTTACCCACTAACAGGAAGCCCAACCTGGCCTCTCTCAGAAGACGTGGACTGGTAGAATCCACAGCCATGGTGTCTGCGTCTGGTTGGTAGAAACCAGCCATCCACTGTAGGGTCTGCCCCATATTTCAAAGCGCCTCCCTCCAGAGGCTGGGCCCCATTACCCAGCGGGGTTCGGGCTGTGCCGCTCCCAATCACTCCCTAAGGTGCTCCCCCTCTTCCCTATTCCTAGCCCTTCTTCCAAAGCGAGCTCTGCTAAGCTGCCCCCCCCCCCCCCGCTCACCTCTATCAGCTTAGCATGGGAACCAAAAGGTAGAAACTGGAGAGTCCTTACCTATGGGGTGTTGCCCTGCCTCCTTGCCATTCAAGTGTCTCTGGGCACAGCCATGAAGTGGTTTTCCATTTCTGCTGCACGGTTCCCCCGTGCTTCCCCTCACCTGCATCTACAACAACGCTATGGTGTTGTTGCCAGTGTGAAGTTCTCAGCCGGCCTGGTTTACCGACACAAAGTGGCAAAGGGCAAAAGCTGCAGCCCTTCTCCAGCTCCCTGCCTGCCGATCCCCCCCCCCAGTTTATCTTCCTTGGGGTCTCGGCACTGCAGGAGCTCAGCCGAGCCACCAGCGTTAGCTGGACTGCCAGCCCGTACCTCTTGGGCCGCACTTTCTCCAGCTAGGAAGGGATCCTCCGGGATATTCATTGCTCTGTACTTCATTTCCCAAGTTGCTCTTCTGGATTCTTCTTCACCCAACACTCACAGCAAAACTGTATCCCACAGATGGGTTCTCGCTCAGACTCTTTTGTGTGGGAGAACGGATCTAAAGACCCCGCTACTGCCCCGGACTGCTCCGACCAAGCCTCCCGAGAGTCACAGTCTTGATTGACATCGATGCAGGCAGCCGTCCTTAGCAGACCCGGGTTCCCCCAAAACAGGCTAAATCAGTTATTACAGGGGGAACTGTCCCGGGAGAAGGGAGTGCTTTATTTTGTAAAGCAGACATACTTCGGAAGACGAGGGTCACCTTCCTAACTCCTGATCTGAAGATTGCTGCTAGCATCAATGGTGAGTGCATGGGCGAGCTTCTTAGGCCCTGGGCTGCCCCTCCTCTGACTGCATTCCTCTGACAGGATCGCAGGAGAGGGGTAGTGAGTGGAGTTAGGGCATTTCTCCCTTCCTCACCTTGGTCCCACCGCCTCAGAGCCATTTCCAAAAATCTCTAGTTTCAAATGGCTCCAGGCTGACCCCTTCAGTGAGTGCCAACCTTCAGAGTCACCTTCCGTGAGGCAGAGGCGGCCCCTCAACTGGGCAGCTCCTGAGCAACTAACAGACTAGCAACAGTTGCTCAGGGCAGCACTCACAGACCACCCACTCCTGCGGGGACCCAGAGGCCAGCCAAGTGCCTTCTCTGCACCCCAGAGATTGTGTAAATGGCAGGGTGCACACAGCGCTGTCTGGGTTTTGGTAGCCTTTGCTGGCCAGCTCCCAAACGAGAATGGCTTACAGTTAGTCCTTTGCCCACGGCCGTCCCCCACCCCAGGGAATCTCTGGTTTGTTCGACTCCATTGACAACAGATCATTTACTCTTTCGATAATTTCGTTCTATATTTTTTTAAAGACCCAGCATGGCTGGGCAAGGCAGGGGGCCTGAGCTCCATACCTATTTTGTAGCATGCGGACTTGAAGGCTGATCGCAAACCACCTGCTAATACCGCTCTTCCCGAGTGGGATGGGGACTAAAGAAAAGGTGCCGTTATAAGACCCTGTTCGATTTTTTTCTTTTTTACTTTTCACGGAAACTTGAGGCAGCAGGGAATCATCTCTAACTAGGAGCTCACGGTTGGCGTCACGACTAGCAACCCGTGACCAAGAGCTTCACACACAACGGGAGAAATCCCGAGGAACATTCCTTGGGACCAGTTGGGTAGGTTTTAGGATAGCCGGTGCGGGAGTACAGGGTCGAACCACCTCCCGGCCGCCTCTGCTCCCCGGTGCTCCGAGGTCGGCCAGAGCTTCTCCCGGGCTCTGCGGCATAGAACTGGAGGACAGGACGGCCGGCAGAGCTCCACTAGTGCGGTGGAGGAAAATTCAGCTTAGGCTCAGACAAAGGAAAAGCAGCCGCAAAGAGGGTTGCCGATGTCGGGTGCAGCGACCAGCAGCGAACAACACTAAAGGAGAAGTCCGGAGGCCAATGGACACCTGTCACCACCGGGGCAACGATCCTCCAAAGCCCTTCCTATCCCAGTCGCACTGGCTCTCCAAGAGGCCTGCTCTGCACGGGCGCCTGGAGGTCCTGGAGGCAGCAGGCCTTGGAGCCAGTACTCTTCCGAATCCCTCAGCCTGGCCCCAGACCAGGGACCTGATTCTTTTTGGTGTCTGACCCAGCAGCCTGTCAGCCTTGGAAGCCCGCTGGAGAGTGCCCACCCAGCAGGCCACTATTTCCTACAAACGGGAGTAGGCAGGAGAGCCGCGGCCCAGTGACAACTGTTCACTGTTGCGTTTTTAAATCCTAAAATGTTACACCCAGGCCGGCCAGCCACGTTTGAAACAACCCTATTTCTCTTTCCGGGTGTGTCCTGACTCATCCAGGACAAGAGTTCCTCGTTTCCGAGAGCGAAGGGAGACGAGTTGGAAAAGAAAAAACGATATCCAAGAGACTCGAATATGAAGGCCCCGGCTGCTCACAAATGCTTCGATCCGCCGCGCTGGCCTGGGCCTTGCACCCAACCGCTTGTAAAAGACAGGGAGCGGCGAGATCCCTTACCGCCAGCAGAAAGGGAGAAGAGATGGAAAAACAAACAAAATAAAAAAGCAGAGGCGAGAGAGAAGTAGGGGGTAGAAGAAAAGGAAATAAAATTATGAGAGAGAGAGAGACAGAGAGAGACAGAGAGAGAGAGAGACAGAGAGAGAGAGAGAGACAGAGAGCATTGGACAGAAGAACAGAAAGGGAAGAAGGCGAGAAGAGATGGGGCTGGGAAGGAAAAGAACAACCCGAATGAACTAGCGTGAGCCTGAGCCAGCTTGGCAAACACCAGCCCAGGGGTAACGCTTAGTTTTTCCCCCACTCTGCCCGGAGCTAAGAGGTGACTGGATCCCCAGGCCCCCGCTCAGCCACGTCCCTTTCCCGAAGCTGCAGCACGGCTTCTCCCAGACACGGTCACAGAAGCCGCGTGGGCTTCTCCCGCGGGCCGCAGCCTCCTTTTTGCAGAACACCCACACACACACCTCACCCCCGACCGCCACCTGCAGCCTCACCTTCCGGGAAGACTGCGCGCATCTTCAGGTAGCTGGTGGTGAGTCGGATGATGGACGCTTTGTCCAGCTGCGAGGTGATGGCCGATGGCAGCGGGAGCAGCTTGGCCAGCTCATAGAACTCGCCATTTTCCTTCTCCCTCCTGGTTTTGGCCGCATTTTTGGACTTCTCCTTCATGGCGCCTCGGCTCTGGGCATATTAGACCTCGCCGCGCTCCAGGCCTGCCCGCGGAGTCCGGTTCGGGCTGCGGCAGCCGCGGTGGGGATGGGGATGCCCAGGTGTCAGGTGAGTCCAAGGGTGTCGGGCTCCCGCAGGTGCGAGGGGCCGGCCTGGAGCACCAGCGCGAGGGCTTCTGCACAGTCGCCAGCCCTGAGTCTGCGGCAAACCAGCTGTGCAGCTCCGCTCTCCGCCCGAGGCTGGGGGATGGACCGACTGTCCCGTGTGGACCTGAGTCTGCTTTCTGCTCGCTCTTCCTTCTCTCCTCCAGCCTCTCGGGCCTGGACCTTCCCGGGGATGTGGTGTGCGGGTGAGCTGGCGGCGGCCCTATTTAGTCCTTAAAGGAAGGCTTGCACCCGCTGCGGCGAAGGCCCTCGGAACGCAAGGGCGGCATCGGCGGCGGCGGCCGCAGCAGCGGAGCCATGAGGCGGGAGCGGAGCCGAGCGAGCGAGCGAGCGAGGTGGCGGCGACCGGGGACACAATCAATCCTGGGCTCGGTGCGCTCTCCTGCCCTCCCCGGCGGTTCCGGGTGCCTGGAGCCCGGGCGTCCAGAGCCCGCGATCTGTGTCCGGGGCGCAGCTGCTCCGCGGTCCACGTGCGACCGAGTTGCGTTTGTTTATGGCAGACCCGCCTTCGGGCGGAGCACTGGGCCGCGCTGTGCGGCCCGGGGGAGGGGTGCAGGGGGAGGGGCCGCAGCGGGGGCGGTGAGTCTCGCCTCCGACCCCGCCGCGGCCCATGAGTCGCCTGCTCGCCTCTGTGTAGCCGCCTCCAGGGACTGTCACGCGAGAGACCCGCGATCTCCCGGGCTGCGGGTAAGTGGGGGGGGGGTAACGCACACGGCTCTCGTCGCGCCTACCGGCTCCCAAGAACGGGAGGATGAGTGGCAGGACCTGGGCTCGAGAGTGGGTGACCCGGTGCGGCGTAGGGGGGAGGAGGAGGGATGCAGTGGCTTCCGCGGTGGCTCCAGGCAGGTCACCCACGGGCGCGGCCCAGAAGAGGCGGGCGCAAACATCTGGCCAAGTGCCCCGCAGGGAGGACCAGTCCTACAGCTGGTCGCATGCACAAGCGCACCTTCCTTGGGTCACAGGCCAGCAAACCTAACGGGGAACGCCCGAGGGAAACACACACACACACACACACACACACACACACACACACACACGCACACACACACACACGCACACACGCACGCACGCACACACACACGCACACACACACACGCGCGCGCGCGCGCACACACACGCACACACCACTTATCCACAGGCACACATGCACCGAAGTGACCTTTCCGCCCTTTCTAGACACTCCGGGGCGAAGGAGACTGCCGCCTTCCAGAGAGGAGCGGGAGCGAGAGGACGTGGGTGCTCAGGGAGGGCAGGAAGGCGCCCAGCCTCTTCCAGGGAGCCTGCAGAAACAAGGCTCAACCGCCCTGGCCCTGGTGACCCAGAGGACGGCGGGAATGTGGGCTGTCGACTTTGGGCCAGGGCTTCAGTGCGACCCTAGCGGAGCCAGGGAGACTGGAGACCCGGTCGCCAAGAGTGCAAGCGTTCTCCCACCCTACCTCACTACGTTAAAAAAAAAATCCCGTGGCGTCTCCCGGGCTGGTGAAGCCGGGGATAGGTGCGGGCGCTACAGTCCCGTCGCGCGCCCCGGTGGCGGTCGCGGCCGCGTGAACCCTCACTCTCCTAAGGAGCCTGAGCCTTCCGAGGCGGGTCAGGTCCCACTTCCCAGGAGTCCTGGATCCGCGCAGACTCAGACAGGTCTCAGGGCAGTGCCTTTGGAGGTCCCCCGGTTCTCTTAGCGGCTGTGGAGTTGCAGGCTGCAGGGAGTCTGACCCTGGGAACCGGGTGCCCGACGCGGGGATTCCGATTCCAGGTGCCACTGCCCCGTTCCTCTCCCTCTGGCTCTCATTCCAGTCTGTGGGGCTCCGAGACCTGCAGACTCCCCTCATCCGCGCCGGGAGGGCTGGACTCCGACTCGCTATGCCTGCAGCAGATGCTTCAGACCTTTTCCTGGGACTCTTTGAGAACCCGAAGTTGGACGCGTAAGACTAGCGCACAGTAGACCGCCATGGGCTTCACGCAGTGCAGACCCTGGCCCTTAGCGCCCAGCATAAACGCAGTGCGCCGCCGGGTGGCTCGAAGTCGCACCAGGCGGGGGCGCGGGAGACCTCGCGCTTAGCGTCAGCCGGTTCGGAGCTGGACGTGATTTTCTGGGTCCCGCAGTAAAGTGTACGCGTAGGGTCGGGGCAGTTTGCCAGTGGCACGGGTGCCCAGTGTCTAAACCTGCAATCCCTTCACGGGAGCTCCGTGAAGCGCTGTGCCTTCGGCTGCCCCGGACTTCGCCGGGAAGGGGCTCCAGGCGAGCAGAGTTGCCGCCGACCCATCCTGCGGCCGCCGCGCTACAGGGAGGGTTTGCCGCCCTCTCCCACCCCCAGGATTCCCGATCCTCAATTATGGAGTCCGGAGAATTCCTTCCCGGCTTGAAGGGATTACCCAGATCGTAGAAACATGGTTAAGTGGGGGGTGGGAGGAACCCGACAAAGCAACAAGAACCGAAACTTCTCAAACGAACTCCCCAGTTTTTAACACAGGAAAACGCATTTGAACTCTAGAGACCGGATTTTCACAGTGGCAGACGCTTCAGGCATCTGCAAGACACTCTCGGGTTTTGAGAGGTGGCAAACGCGATTGAAGTGGGCATAGGGTAACTCTAGGCCGGAGCCTGACTCAACAGACACCCAAACGTCACACACAGGGCTATGGAACTAGGGTCCCCAGCGCCAGCCATCAAAAGCTCTTGCCTTTGGGCAGGATCTCAGTACTAGAGGTTTCTTATCTGGGAAGGAGTGTGGAGTCTATGTGGAATAATGAAGAGCGTGCCCCCCCTCCCCGGTCTAGAGCTCTCACGAGGGAGTTTGAGCCTGGGATCCTCAGGACTCTTAGATATCCACAGCGTGCATGAGGGGCAGTATTAAGTTAGAAGTTCTGTTTTAAAGGTCTCTCTCTCTCTCTCTCTCTCTCTCTCTCTCTCTCTCTCTCTCTCTCTCTCTCTCTCTCTCTCTCTCTCTCTCTCTCTCTCTCTGTGTTGTATGCTTGGGTATACGTGGAGGCACCAGGAAGCCAAAGGTCAAGTCGGAATGTCTCTCTCAAACACTTGTCACTTTATTTATTTTTGCACTGAACCTGGAACTCCTTTTTTTTTTTTTCCAGCCAGTTCACGGGCTAGCGAGGCCTCAGCCTGCATGTTGGTTGGTCTCCGTTGCACTGTGCTGATGTTATAGAACCCCTATCCCCTCTCCACTTCTCACAAGGATTCTGGGGGACCCAAACTTAGGTCCTCACGCAGTGTAATAAGCTCTTCACCTACTAAGCCACCTCTCCGGGGGGCCTTGAACAAGTTTTGTTTGGAGCTGGCCATAGTTTAGTACTGCCACTGCTGGTCTCTGACCCCTGGGACTAGAGTCGGCCCCAGATCACATTACAAGCCTCTTCCTCCTGTACACCGTGGCGTATACTACAGTGGAGTTAGATTAGCTGCAGTCACCTCTGGCCCACACAGGAGCTTACTGGTCTGCCAAAAGTGGTGTGGGATGGTGATAAAAGAATGGGGGTCCAAAGACGGGGGGGGGGCTAAAGCTAATCAACGGAGTGTCAGCGCCAGCAGTGGAGCCCCAAGGTAGAGCAGAAATGCAGAGGCCTGGGATCCCAGGTACCACCTAGATTGCCACTCTTCACCCACTGGCTGGGAGGAGCCTGTAGAGGGCCAGTGTCAAGAGGTGGCTTGCAGACCCGCTGGCCCGCCTGCTGGCAGGGCACCCACACCCTCAGTCTCCTGGATCAGAAGCACAGCCCCACCAGCCCAACCTCTTAGAAATTTTCCATTAGGAAACTAATCTGGATGAAATTTGGGCCCCAGGAAGAAAGGGCTGCCCCACATCCGTTTGGATTTTCCGACTCAGATGCTTGCCAGGCTGCACACCCAGTGCCTACCTGAGGCCTATCCCCGGCAGAAACCAACTTTTGGGCGAGATCAAGCCCCCCCCCAAGACGAGCCTGCCAAGATGGGCTCTGGGGAAGCTGATGCTTCCAGGAGGCCCAGAGTCGGAGGTCTCCCACCCAGGTGTGTGAGGGGCAGGAGAGCCCTCTTGTTCCTGGCCTTGTCTCCAGCCTCTGAGTGAAATTTAAGAACTTCAACCTCCCGAGCTAACAGAGGAAACAGAAAATCCCGAAGCCTCGGGAATAAGAAACTGTTTGATTCCCAAGCCGCTGTCTACACCTGCAATCAGAGGGCTGCGCCTACTCAGGAAATCTGGTGCCCACCCACCTCACAGGTGTGACAGTCTCCTAACTGGGAGTCTTCCCTAGCATGAGCTACCCACAAAAGGGCGCTTCAGCTCCTGCCCTCCCCCACTCCTCTCCATGTATAAGTTACACTGACTCCCCACCGGACAATGCCATTCCCAGACAATTAGTGTTAAGGAACACATTGTTGGAAAATAATTACACGTAGCCAGAGTGATTCAGAACAATTTATTCTGGCAGAGGCCAAGACAGTACCACTCTGTTCCTTCCCAACTAGGATAAAGTGCCCACCCCCTTCTCTGTCCCGCATCTCTCTGACAGGTATTTCTCCGGAGAAAGTGTTTGATTTAGTTTGGTGCCGGTGTCTAATTATCTTACTAGATCCCAGTAACGGGGCAGATCCATCTTCCCACATAGGGTCTAGGGGGCAGGTTTGCTGAGTCCAAGGTTAGAGCCCTGGGAACAGCCACACTAGCAGTCAGGACAACAGCTCTGGCTCCTGTGAGCCTCTCCTGGCCCCCTGGAAAGAGGTGTCCCTAAGCCCTGGGCTCCTGCCCTGGGGTGGGGGTGGGGCTGGGGTCAGGATTCTGAGAAGAACTATTTCCCTTACACTTAGTCATCCTGGGCAGCCACGGATTTCAGGATGGTGACCCCCACCCTCGTTTAAGGCTGGAAACCCTCTTCTGCCCTTCTCTCCAGAAGATGCCTTCAGGGGAACAGATGCTACCACCAGGAGCTTACTGTAGGGGTCATTAGAGTTCCCGAGAGGACCGCAGGGCTGGGTGAAGCCCACTTCCCTGCAATAAATGGATCCTTTTAGCTTTGGAAATGAAGGGGGGGTCCTTTCCCCTACAGATTCCCTCTCTGTCTCCTAAGCCAGACTTTGCTTCCTTCCTGGTCTCTGAGAGGAGGCCAGCAGCTCAGTACTCCACAACACAGAGTGACGTCCTGGGGACCTAGGCTGCAGGCTCGCCGGAGCTGCCCAACCTCAAGCTAGGCCCTTCCCCGCAGAGAAAGGGGGAGTCCTGGTCCACGAGTAGATGTCACCTGACCCGCCACCACCAGCCGGGTTTCTCCTAAAGGACTCTTGGAGCAGCTTAACAGAAACACCCCCCTCAAAAGCCCACCTGCTACCAGGCAAAGCCCTGCTCTCCTCTACAAACGATCCTTGCTGCTTTGAGGGCGGCCGAGACCGCGTTTGAAAACCCCCTAAGCGGGAGGAGGCTTAGCCGGCTGTGTACTGAAATTCCTCCGTGGTTACATCAATTACACACAGCCTCGAAATCTGAAAACTGATTACTTCGTTTATGATGTCACTGAACAGCCCTCAAGAAACCTCAACCTAAAAAAACCAAAAAATTCCCAATATGAGCCAGAATAAAACCTACCCACCTGAGATAAATATTTCTGGACATCAAAGAAAATGTGAATAAGATGCCCCCGCCCATAAGTGATAGTAGTTGACTATTTTATAGTATTTTATAGACAGGAACGCGGTTCGTTTAACATATTGTATCGTCTTGCAAGTTGACAGTGAGGAATTTCTTCCCTATTCTAAACAAATCTGGAATACACGAATTCGTTCAAAGTTTAAGGAGAGAAAGTTACAGGACGGCGGGTAGGCTGGGCTGGCGTGCCACAGCCTGGCCTGGGTGTCCTTAGTGGATCCAAACTCCTGCTGGCCGCGGGCTTCTCCCTGACTTGTTCAGATTTTCATTCTGTTTTTCTCTTTCTTTTAAAGGCCAACGTGGAAGGTGGGATTCCCAAGGGGTGTGTATCTAGAACACTCTGAGCTGTTGGAAGCTTAGGACCTGAGGACAGTGTTGGTCACAAGTTCTGTACTAACTAACGAAAGCTGGATATGGGCCCCTTGGCCAGGCGCAGAGGCCACCTTCTGGGCTTCTGAGGGTCACACCGGGGTGCGGCGGGGTTGGCTGGAGGGATGGGGCCAGGGTGGGGGAGAGGAATGAGGCTTGGGCACCCTGCGAGGGTTCTCAGTTTGGTGGAAGCAGCTCAGCTCTGCGACTGCCGCCTTCCCGCGCCGGGAGGACGTTAGTGATGAGATTTTTCTATAAGTCCTTGGTGTCTCTGGCCTTTTCCGGCTGGAAAAAAATCCTTCGTGTGGTTAACAAACGCGGACGTGGACGGCAAGCCCACGGCTCTCCTGCACCTGGAGGTTTGTCAGCGCGCATGACTCTCTTCTCCCGCATGGACACGAGTCTCTGCGCCCCCCCCGAGTGAGCTGCCTAGAGTAAGACTCTAGGTGGAGATCCCGGCTTCTTCCCTCTAAACTCCGGTCACTCAGGCCCGCTTCGACCCACAAGTGAGGGAAGCAGGGGCCTGGGACAGCTTGAGACTCGGGTAGAGAGGGTGGGCGCAGAAGGGTGAAGCCAGTGGGGTTTTTTGTTTGTTTGTTTTTGTTTTGTTAGCATCTGTGAGGCTTCTGCGCCGGCCCCCAACTCTCATTTTCCCTGCCCTAGAGTTCTTGCCGACGCCGGCTTAAGGAACAAAATCCAATGCGCCTTGTTCGTCCAAATCATCTCCAATTTTAAATTGGAGGGGAGGGGTAGAGACACAGAGAGGGACAGACAAGAGACCAAAGCTCTTTCTAGGTGCCAGGGCAAACAGACAGGAGTTTTCGGGTAAAACGAATCTTTCTTTTCTTTCTTTTTTTTTTTTTTTAATTAGCTCTTCTCCTCAGTTCAAGAGTATTGTCCCCGGAGAAAGCCTGGGTTAACTGACAAATGACTTTCGGTTTATGGGTATTTTTTGGTTCCCCAACTCCGACGCCTTTAATCCCGCTTTGAGGACAGAAGCAAACTAATCGTGCTCACTGCCGAGATGGCACTTCTTGCACCCGAGGGTGTGGACATCATCTGTGGATCACGGAGCTCTCTGTTTCTCTCCCAAAAGTCTTGGAACCAGGCAGGGTTCCCGGGCCTGTCTCCCAGGCTGTGGGTCACCCTTCTCTTAGGGACAAGAGGTCAGGTGCAAACGCACTCAGTGGACCGGAATCGAGTGAGTGGACGCCAATTAAACGCTCAGACTTGTTTATTTTTGGAGACTTTCCATCAGCCAGGCCCAGCGCTGGGCTCAGGGCCACCGGGGGGGTAGGGTTGTTTATTGAGGACCCCCGATCTTCTCAGTAAATCAGGGCGGGGGGGGGCAGGTGTGTTCGGAGCCCGGTTTAGACAGCCGAAAGCTCTGTACAGCGTCTGGATCAAGCGACAGACTCAAATACCTTTAAAATAATTTAAGCTGAGCCATGCGGGCTAGAAAGGCGTGGACCTGCTTTTTATTCCTGGATTGTTGGGGGGGGGGCTCTCCATTGTTACTTACACATAAATAATTTATAAAGTGCTTTCTTACTACTTAAGGTAACTGACCGGAAAGCCCTCCCATCCCCAGTTTAAGCCACATCCAGTAACACCTGACTGACTTGTTTACATTTCTGTCCATCCTATATTTTTATTTATTTATGTTTTTTAAGGAGCTAATTCTGACAAATGAAGAGGCAATAGATCCTTGGAGAGATACACCTGCAGAAGGTTCTGGAATTCCAGTCTAACCCCACCCTCTGGTCTTTAAGGAAACCTCAGGCCCTCCTTTCTGCATCGTTGGAGAGAGAACCTCCTACAGGCTAAACACAGGCTCTGTGGCGGAGCTGCATCCCAGTGCATTTGGACCTTACTTGATTGATGTTGGGCTTCAGGAGTAAGACTCTAGGTGGAGATCCCGGTCTCACATATGCATTCTAATTTCTGAGCAGCTTGGATTGAGCCAAGGGGGCACGAGGCCAGCCTGTGACCATAGAGGATTGCTTGAGAACTCAAAAGAACGACGGGGTGACCGACGGGGTGACAGAAAGGGAAACATTTCAACACAAGGACAGTTTCGAGCCACAAGGAAAGAAAGAACAAAGCATCCAAATTAAGTTAGGAAATGTATTATCTATAGAAAAATCCTTTGAACAATCAGTCGGCCGTGAGGGCATTTTGTTTTTTTGGTTTTTTTTCTAGTTCAGGTTGCTGCTCCACTTCTCAGGGTTCCTTTTCACGTGGAAATCAAGAGACAGGCGGTGATGGGGTAAAGATGACTAACGATCTTTTAGTAATCTCCCCTCTGTGGGTTGTGGAAGCTGCTTGAAGGTTGCCAAGGGAACCTTGGGTAAAATTTTGCAGGAGTGTCTCTGAAAACATTATTCATAATTAAAAAATGATTCATAGAAATCACCAGAAGAATTATAGCCTGCTCTGTGTTCAAACATGTTTTGGGCCATGTGGAATAAATAAAACCATGGTCTGGTTGGGTAATGCTGCCTCCTAGTCTTCCTCTGGCTGTGCCAGCAGGATCTGAGACAGAGTCATAGATTTAAGAACAGCCCAAGTGACAGGAGACAAAAGATTTTCCCTACATTCTTTCTATCTATCTATCTATCTATCTATCTATCTATCTATCTATCTATCTATCATGACAGCCTTCGTACGTAGTCCAGGCTGGCCATGGGAGCCTCTCATTCCTTTCATTTTTTGAGACAGTCTCACGTAGCCCAAGATGGCCCCCAATTCTCACGAACGCCAGGTTCTTCTGCTTCCACTCATAGTTCTTATGCTGGGGACCAAACCCTGTGCAGATCCGTAGCAAGTCACCTAGCCATTGAGTCATCTCTTCTGCCCAAGAGACTCGTTCTTCAAGACATTATTTTTATTTCATTTCTCAGGCCCTCACGGTTTCAGGTCAGCAATATGCAACTTATGTGCCTAAGTAGTAAAATCCCCAAACCCACCCCACCCCCACTCCCTTTTGCTCTGCAGGGAGATGCTATGTAAGAGCTGCTGCTTACCTGATGTCACCAACCCCTGTTTAAGATTCTGCCTCTTCCTGCTAGGAGTAGGGCAAGCTTCCTTTTTTTTTAAATTAAAAAATTTTTTTTGGTTTTGTTTTGTTTTTCAAGACTGTTTCTCTGTGCAGCCTGGGACTCACTTGGTAGACCAGGCTGGCCTTGAACTCAGAGATCCTCATGACCCTGACTCCATGAATCACTACCCACCATAGGGGCTGGCTTTGAAGCCTGCAAGTGACCTGTAGCAGTTAATACACTCAGGGATAGGGTCTCATTGCCTTGGGCACTGGTGGAGAGTAACTCTATCTATTAGTGGCTAATGTTTATGTGAAGAAATAGCTCGTGATAGAGCAATTAACTTATTGAATAACCTAGACTGAAGCAGTTGCACTTGCTGGAGGAAAAAAATGTTCTCATTGCCCAACACAAAACAAAACAAAAGTCAAACCACCTGGAAGCTTGCAGAAGACCTGAGCTTGGTTCCAGAACTAGTGTTCAGCTGCTTACAACCTCCTGTAACTCCAGCTCCAGGGGATCTGACGCCCTCTTCTGGACTCCCTAGGCACTGCACTCATGTGCATCCCCCCCCACATATATAATTGCAAATAAAATCTTTAAAAAATTCAGTCGTTGGGCGGTGGTGGCGCACGCCTTTGATCCCAGCACTCGGGAGGCAGACAGACAGGAGGATCTCTGTGAGTTCAAGACCAGCCTGGTCTATAGAGCTAGTTCCAGGACAGCCTCCAAAGCCACAGAGAAACCCTGTCTTGAAAAACCACACACACACACACACACACACACACACACACACACACACACACACACACACAAATCCGTCAGTGACCCGTGCCGGGTTACTAGGCTGCATGACTTCTGATCTACCAGATGATTTTAGCCTCCTGTGGTGACTCACCTAGCCTTTGAAGGTGGCTTACGCAGATAGAGGACTGCATGTTTCAGGCACGTTCCTCGTCTTCGTGCTCAGTTCAGAGTAACTCTTGCTTAGAAGAAGCTGACCACAGAAGGAACGCAGCCCTTCAGTCTGGGAAATCCTCAGTGTGGCCACTCATGCATACTGAGGATCTGAACAAGGTCACACAGCCTTTGAACCAGCAATTCTGCTTATGTGACCTGTGGAAAGCACATAGAATGTAAACCAAACCTTTCTTTTTTTTTTCTTTGCAGCAGTGTTTGTAATAGTTAAGGATACAAGATTTACCCCCCCCCACCCCAGTTTGGTTTTTTAAGACAGTGTTTCTCTGTGTAACCACCCTGGCTGCCCCGGAACTCACTTTGTTCCAGGCTGGCTGCAAACTCACAGAGATCTGCCCACCTCTGCCTGTGAGTGCTGGGATTAAAGGCGTGTGCCACCATGCCCAGCTCAAGTTTTCATTGTAAAATGATTTAAAAAGCAGGTGTGCCGGGCGGTGGTGGCGCACGCCTTTAATCCCAGCACTCGGGAGGCAGAGGCAGGCGGATCTCTGTGAGTTCGAGGCCAGGCTGGACCGATAGCCTCCAAAACAATACAGAGAAACCCTGTCTCGTAAAAACCAAAAAAAAAAAAAAAAAGTAAAAAGCAGGTGTGATGGCATACACCTGTGAACCCAGTGCCCAGGAGACTGAGGCAGGAGCATCGTGAGTTGGAGATCTGTTAAAAAAAAATAAAGATTGATAGATATAATGAATGGCAGAGGGCCTAACCCACTGCCCAGGAGAAGGAAGTATTTAGTGAACTGTAGTTGTTCTAGCAAGTTCTAGGACAGCCAGGACTGTCACACAGAGGAACCCTGTCTCAAAAGAAAAAGAAAGGAAGGAAGGAAGGAAGGGAGGGAGGGAGGAAGGAAGGAAGGAAGGAAAAAAGAAGGGAGGGAGGGAGGGAGGAAGGGAGAGAGGGAGGGAGGAAATACAGCCGTGCTAGCTAGTGTACTGAGAGGAAGCTGTGATTGTAGATTTCACCCTCACACCACTGGCCAGTCCTTCCGGTACACAGTAAACTCCAGGCTCAGATGGAGCTTCTGGAAATAAACCAGATGTGCAATAAAATTTGTGCACTTTCTAGGAAGGTGAAATTTTGCCACATGACCTTCTGTCAGCTGAACACCTTGGACTCCCATGCTTTTGACTCTTCAGCGGCTTCCTCTACCTATGACCCCACAGCTGATCTATACACAGAGCTCAGTTTTCTTCTTAAATCTTTATGTGTGTGAGCATGAGCACGTGTGTGTGTGTGTGTGTGTGTGTGTGTGCGTGTGCAGGGATATGTGTTTGTACACAGATGTGTATGTGCACAGAGATATGTGTATACCCGTGTGTGTGTGTACATGGATATGTGTGTACATGTGTACATAGATATGTATGTGCATGCATGTGTGTGTGCACAGAGATGTGTGTACGTGAATGCATGTATGTGTTTGTGCATGGATATATATGTGCCTGCATGTGTGTGTGTGTACATGGATATGTGTGTGCATGCATGTGTGCATGCATGTACACGGATATGTATGGGTACTCACAGAGGCGGGAAAAGGGTGCCACACCCCTGGAGGTGGAGTTACAGGTAGTTGTGAGATGTCCCCGTGGCTGCAGGAGCTGGTCTGCGTCTTTGGAGCTGCTCCGTGGTGCTCAGTGGCTTTTTATCACATCTTCTACCAGCTGGGGAGCTGGGCATGTCCTGTCCCGCCTTGTTGGGGGCCCCATGGGACTCTGGAGAGCTATTCATCCAGCGGTCCTCTTACAACTTGGTCACACTATGTTTCCCCCTTACCATGCCCATGAACACTTTCCAGCTACAGTGTTTTCCTTGCTGACTATATCTACATAGCCTCTGGCTCCTACTGCACAGCTGGGAAGGAAGAGAGCTGGGAACTTTGGACTCTTCCTGGCTTGGGGTAGGGCACTGCGTTCCCTCAGAATTCTTCCAATGCATAGACACTATCTGATTAGCAAGGCTTGGCTGGGAACCATGTGGCCAGGGGGTTTGGGCTCCAGGCTCTAACACATGCTCTTGCCTATCTTGTGTCTTCACTGGAGCACCCTGCTTCCAGTCAGGCCACCACAGATGACCAACAGCTATTTGTTGAGGGAATGTGGGATTCTCCCCAAAAGCCAAGCAGGCTGCCCACATGGCAATTTTCCATGCAGTAGGGGGAAAAACCCAAGAAACTCAATTCTTTTTCCCCTCTCCCTGTGGGGACATCAGTGGAGACTTGTCTGTCACAAGAGCATGGAAGAGTTCCAACAGAGACATAAGAGCTCTCTGGCAGGCCCCATGAAACGTTAATTTTAGCCTCCAGTGACTGGTGCCTGCCTGATGTCCTTGCTTAATTTAGTGGGTCAGGAAGAGCAGGAGCCATGGTCAAGGCTTATACATACTCAGAGAGCTCTCTCTCTTTTCCCTCGGAGCTTGGGTGGGTGCAAGCCAGCTCTCTGTACATTTCCCTGGAGAGATTCCTGCCATGTGGAAAATCCTAGAACCTGGGGATTGTGGGACATTCCATGAAAGTAATGGCGTCTGTCCTGCCACTAAATACCACTAGAGTCCATGCAAAAATGTGATTGTGACCCCAGGTGTCAAATGCTGGCAGAGTCCGGCCATCACCATAAACAAACAAAATGCTGGCAAGGCCTCAGTATTCTGGGCTGAAAGACACACAGGTCCACCATCAAGTGATGAACTTAAAGAAATGTCTCTGGGATTTCCATATTTCTCCATATTTTTTTCTTTCTTGGGTGCTCCTAACATAACCCTCCTGACAGGAACGAAGCTATTATAGAGGGACACTTGTGTCCCTCCCTTTCACCAAGTTAAAGGGCCCAAGGAACCAGAATTCTCTATGAATCTCAAGCTGTGAGAAGGAGAAGGCTTGAAGCCTGGAGTCCAGCAGAGGAGAAGCTAGTCTCCCGGAAAGGAATTTTGCAAGGTCAAACTTGTCACTTTATGGGATCCACTGAAGCCTGAACCATGGTGGATCAATGGGGGAGGGTGGCAGGGGGCTGATGGGAGTGTCCTTCTGTGTATATGTTTCTCTTACTGGATGATGAATAAAACCCTGTGTGGCTAGTGGCCAGTCAGGAAGGATAGTCAGGGCTACCAGAGGAAGAGTCTCTATGTGAGCCTGGAAAGAGAGGACCTCAGGAAATACATAAATAGTAACGTGATGGGGGAAGTCCTGTGTATGTGCTTATCTTATTGGTTGTTGAATAAAGCACTGTTGGCCAATAGGGAGGCAAGATAGGTGGGACTAGTAGTCAAGGAGGATTCTTGGAAAGAGAGTCACAATGTAGGTTGCAGGAGAAGCAATATGCGGATCCTTCCTCTGGCAAGCGAAGACCACATGGAAATACTCAGATTAGCAATTATGGGTTAAATATCTAAGTCAGAGCTGGCCAGTAAGAAACAAAGCAAATGGCCAACAGCTTATAATTGATATAGTGTCCTCTGTGTTATTTGGGGGCTGAGATAGCAGAACCCAAGCAGCTAACTGTGGCAGGGCCCAAGCAACTGTCAGAAAGACTACACGTTACAGTAATGGATTAATAATTAAGACAGAGCTAGCCAGTTTACAGCTAATATAGCGTCTGTGTGCTTATTTGGGGCTCAAGGGCCATGGGACCATCTGGGACAAAGAACCTCCCATTACAGGGGGCACCTTGACCAGGACCATTAATTTTGAATTCTTCTTGCCCTCTATTGAAAGCTAAACCTCATATCAAGAACTCAGTGACAGACTGGGGGGCACATATCAGCTACTTTTCTGTTGCTGTTGCAAAACATCATGATTAAGATAACTGACTTATAGAAAGAAGGCAGGGTTCATGGTTCCAGAGGGAGGAGTCCTCCGTGGTCTTGGCAGCATGTGGCTGGCCTGGCAACACAAGCAGGAAGCTCACACCTCCTTCAGTCACAAGCATGGAGCAGAGACAGCAAACTGGAAATGGGGCAAAGGTATATACTCTCAAAGCCTTCCCTGGGTGACAGTGACACACTTCCTCCAGGAAGGCCACACCTCCTAAGCCTCCCCCAGACAGTGCCACCAACTCCGGACCAAGTATTCAAAGGCCTGAGCCTACAGGGACATTTTTCATTAAAATCCCCCACATGGGGAGTGAGGCCACTTTGTTGCTCTTTCTAGTATGGCCACATTGTAAAAACCTTTCTCTGTTTGTTACTGTTGCTTGTGTGTTTAACTGATTCACTGGTGATGGGCGGGCTTGTGAGGGCTCAGGGCGGGCTTGTGAGGGCTCAGGGCCAGGGTCTGACCTGGACCTCTGCAAACACGAGGAGACGGAGTCCTGGGCTGCTGCGGATATCTGTGATTTTGTTGCAATCAGTTCTCTGCTGACTGGGGGTGACCTGAGCCTGACTTGATGCTTGAGGACCCACACACTTTCCCGGGGGAAGGGTGAGATTGCCCCCCTTATGTGTTCCAGGCACCGTTGATACCCACACATCGGTCCATCCTTTGTTCAGTTTGCTCCGGAATGAGCCCAGCACACACCTGTGCACACCGTGAAACTCTCACCTGCCATGTGTGAGTGTGAGCCCAGCACACCTGTGTGCACACCGTGAAACACTCACCTGCTGTGGGTTGAGGGCTTGGTTCCAGATGATTGTGCTGTTTGGGAAAGTTCTGGAAACTTTAGGAGGTAGAGAACCCTGATGGAGGAGGCAGGTCTCGAGGGGCATCTTGCTCCTTCTTGTCCTGTTCTCTGCTTCCTGTTTGCTCGGATGGCAACATTCCCCTCCTGCCATGCTCTGTGGACCAGAGAATCAGAGGTCAAAGCCATTTTTTCTCCTCCTTAAGTTGTTTGAGGCAGGTGGTCTGTCACTGTGTTGGGGACAGTACCTAACATACTCTCACACCTGGTCCGGTGTTACGTCATAGCGATGAGGACATGCTGTCACACCTGGTCAGATGTGTCTGTCCTTGAGAGAGAAGGCGGGACTTCAAAGATGATGGTGCATACGTGTGCAGGCATGCACGCTCGTGTGTGCACAAGTGTGAGAACACGCTTGTGTGTACACAAGTGTGAGAATCAGAAGCGCCGACTTGAGGATTTCCAAGTAGGCCAGGCTGGCCAGGGAGCTCCCGGGACTGTCCTGTCTCTGTCCCTTCAGCATTAAGATTGGAAGCTTGTGACAGCACAGGGGCAGCTCTATGCAGGTGCTGGGTGGGGGCGGACTCGGGGCCTCGTTCTTCAGCTGTAAGTATCCTACTGAGTTTCCTCAGATCCCCCAAATGATTTTCAAATGAAAAATAAAATCTGAAAGACAAAGTCTATGCTAAGAACTTGGAGGAACCTTCAGTTTGAACAAGCAGCCTGTCCCTCAGCCCCGACATGTATCCACTGTTCAGACTGCGCCCTGCTCAGTAACACGGAATGGGGGGCTGGAGAGACGGCTCCATGGTTAAGAACGCTTGGTGCTCTTGCAGAAGTCTGTAGACTGAGTCCCAGAACCCATGGAGCAGCTCACAACCGTCCATAACTCCAACTCCAGAGGATCTAGAGCCTCCCTCTTCTGATCTCCTCAGGAACCAGGGACATTCGTACACTTAAATAAAATAAATGAACTCTTTTCTTTAAAATTTTTAAAAAATGTAGTTATTTGTTTGTTTGTTGTTGTTTGTTTGTGGTTTTTTGAGTCAAGCTTTCTCTGTGTAGCCCAGGATGTCCTGGAACTCACTTTGCACACCAGGCAGGCTTTGAACTTAAAGTGATCCACCTGCTTCTGCTGGGTTTAAAGGTGTGCACCATCACCGCCAGGCCGACCGTGGTGTCTTATCAAGCGTTAGGAAGGTAATGAATAGAGGAAGCCTTCAAATACGGTTGTCCCAACCCTCTTCTCCTGTCTGCTCAAGCCTGACTGTTTTTGTATTAGATGAGAGTCCCACCCGTCTCGTGCCCACACTTAGTATCTTCTCCTTAAGAAGATTTGTTTCATGTTCAGTCCCAGATGCTGTCTGGTCTTAGTTGGTAGCCTGGGGTACCCAGTTAGTTCTATACCTTCAGCGCTGTCAAGCTTGAGTTGGTCTCCCGGGACTAGGAAATGGCTACAGACTGGGAAGTTTGTGTCAAGAGAAGTCTAGCTTCCCAGGAGTCCCGTGGGGGCCAGGAAGCCCACAGTGACCATCTCAGCAGGACGCATTAGGCTCGCTTTCAAGAATCTGAGGAACAACCTGCCCCTCCCAGCCTCTACCCCAGCCAGGCTCTTGTCCTTGCTTCTGTGCCGCAATGATCTTCTTCCGCATCTCTGCGTCCTCACCCCTTCTGACAGCCTCAGCAGCTGGTGGCTGTAGAGAAAGGGCACCCTAAACCTAGGACCATTTCACCCCAGGTTGTATTTACTAAATATCCAAACAGGCTCGTTTTCTGATGTTCTGGGAGGATGTGTCTTTGGGGTATACCAGTTAGCTAACAATGAGACAACTGTGGAATTACATTTATTTATTTTTATTATTCTGTATGTTGGGGGTAGTGCATGGTGCTGGTGTAGATGTCAGAGGACAACCTTAGGGGATTAGTTCTCTTCTCCATGTGCAACCTGGGATTGAACTCAGGTTGTCAGCCTCGGTGGCCAGTGACTTTGCACTTTGAGCTATTTTTGCCAGCCCATAAAGCCACACAAACACATACACACACCCCACACATCCTCACACATACACACACACACACATGCACACACACACATAAGCACAGATCTGATCTGTATATGTGTGTGCCTACAGAGTTTACGTGCACCACATGACTGCAGGAGTTGAGACCAGCAGAGGTCTTGGGGCAGGTGCCCTGGACCTGTAGTTACAGACAATTATGAGCACCACGTGCGTGCTGGGAATCAACCCAGGTTGGCTGTAAAACAGGAAGCATTTTTTTCCGAGATAGGGTTTCTCTGTGGCTTTGGAGGCTGTCCTGGAACCGGCTCTTGTAGACCAGGCTGGTCCTGAACTCACAGAGATCCTCCTGCCTCTGCCTCCCGAGTGCTGGGATTAAAGGCATGCGCCATCACCGCCCGGCTAGCAGGAAGCGTTCTTCACTGCTGTCTCTCCAGACTCCAGGGCAAATAAATGCCCACTGATGAGAAAGTGAACTGTGAGAAATGAATGGAAACTCTTGCATCCTTCCTATGCAGTTTCCAAAGTGTGTTGCTAGGAAAGCGCAGGGAACATTTTTCTTCGCCTGAGTCCCAATTGTTCAAGCCCCCTACCGTTTGATTTCCCACTCTCTCTGACTCATTAGAAGACAAGCTGGAGACACCATGCCCCCTCGCTGGCCCACAAATTCTTCACCCAGCCATCTCCTAAGAAAAGGAATGTTCTCCTACATGACCTCAGAATGATTACTAAAATTAGGAAATTTATTGTCAAAAAGTACTATTATCCAATCCAAAGTTTATATTCAAATGCCATCAATTTACCAAACTATGTCCTCTATAACTTCTGCCCCGCCCCAGGCTCCAGTACAGGATGGTGCTTTTCCTTCGGCTGTCGTGTCTCATCAGTCTCTAATCGGGAACGGTTCCTTAGCCCTTGTGTCAGAATTAGTTCCAGGTGATGTGGAATGGATGCGCTCAGGGCCTGTGTTCTCATAGCATCTACAAGTGGTGCAGGCTTGCATTCACTCTGCCGCCGCTGTTCAATATGGTGAGAGCATGCCCCACCCCACAGGCTCACATTTTGAACATACTACCTAGGAGGTGTGGCCTGCACAAGGAGGGAGGCCCTGGGGGCGGTGGTCCTTGGGGTTTGTGGTGGTTTGGATGACAGTGTCCCCTCTAGGCTTAGGCACTTGAACATGGTGGTGCTGTTTCGGGAGGTTACGGAACCGTCAGGGTGATCCAGCCTGGTTGGAAGAGCGGGCTTGGAGTGTTCATAGCCTCGGCTCACGCCCAGTTCACGCTCCACTCTCTCCGTGTGGATAAAGAAGGGAGGTCTCGGCTTCTTGTTGTCACAGAGAGTTTGACGGTCTGAGTTTGATCCCAGGGACCTGTAAAGAAAGGGAAATGACACACTATGGGGCTCCTCTGCCCTACACACGTGAGCTGCAGCACACACCGTCACATCACACATATGCTCACACAAACAACGAGGCACGGCTTCTCCGTGTAGTCCTGGCTATCCTCTCTGTAGACCAGGCTGGCCTCAAACTCACCGAAATCCCCCTGCCTCTGCCTCCCAAGTGCTGGGATTAAAGGTGTGCGCCGCCACTGCCCAACAAGAACTTATTTTTTAAAAGAGTTAATCTTGAGCATATCAGAGAGCATGATGGGAGACTGTGAGTCCATGGTCTTCCTGTCTCCGCCTCCCTAGCTCCCCACCTCAGCATCCGGAGCTTTCTGTGGAGGCAGGGGTTGATCCTAGGTCCTTGAGCTTGCACAGCAGCCCTTCCCACCTGTTAACCCAGGCGTCTCCCCCGCCTGAGGAAAAGACACCGCATGTCCAGTGTTCTGGGACTAAACGAGGAAACAGTTGTTGACCACGTGGTTCTACACAGTGTTCCCTTCCCCTGCTCACAGCACCTGATCTCTCAGTCATGGTCTCTGAAAATGGGAGATTGGGAAAAAAATGACTTGTTCTTATTTTACTGTGTGTGCATTTGTGTTTATACACATGTGTCTAAGTGCCCTCAGAGGCCAGACGAGGACGGTGGGCCTCCTAGAGCTGGGGTTCCGGACGGTTGCCAGCCTTGTGTGTTACAAGAGCAGCAAGCACTCTTAACCTCCAAAACTCTCTGGACCCTGGAAAAGGAAGACTTTTTGGAGACCAAACCATTAAGAGAAAGAAAAAAAAGAGAGAGAAAAGAAAACACCCAAAACACCTTATTTTGAAAGACTCCTACAAGTGGTGGGAAGGAATGGGCCTTTAAATAAAAGATAATACGGATTTAAAGGACAAACACAACCCAAGTCACCAAGGCTGACGGCACCTGCTCCTCGTGGAGCCAGCGGTGGCTGTCACACCCAGATGCCTGACGACAAGCCCTCGGAGGTCAGTGCTGCGAGAAGGGGAGATGAAGGTTGTGCCTGGGAGAGTGTAGCGGGGTCGCTTAGAAGATGTGCAGGGTGTCCTTATCCGGGTGAGCATCACAGCTGTAGTGATCAACCCCCTTCCCTCCCCTCCCCATCCATCCTACTCCCTCTTCCTCCCCCTCCCGCCCCTCCCCCTCCCTTTCCCCTCCCCCCTTCATCTCCTCACCCCCTTTGCTGTGCTAGGCTTGATGTTGGAATCCAGAGTCGTGGGCATGCTGGACAAGCATTCTACCGTGGGGCTACACCCAGGCTACTTTTTTTCTCTCTAACTAGGGTGTGCATGACTACCACAAGTAAAACTGAGTCTGTTTCTCGAGTCCCACCTAGTGGTGGAGTTCCTCGCCCTCAGGCACAATGACCCCCTGTTTTGTTTTGTGGTGCTCTGGTGCGTTGTTCACTCATTAATGTGTTTTGCTGTTGCCGTTTTCACATTTGATGAGCTGTATTTATTGTAGCGTGAGAGCTGTCAGTTACTCCGATGGCATGGCAGTTACACACTTGGCGGTTACACACTCTTGTGCTTGGTTAACGGCATTCCTCCTAACAAGCCACACCTTGGTGCTAACTTTTGTCTTGTGTGAAGCATTTGCACACACAGGCCTGAAGGATGTATGCTGCTGGTCTAGCGTTCATTCGGCAAGCCCTGGGTTCCAGGTACACATCTGTAATCCCAGGGAGGGGAGAGAGAAGGGTCAGAAGTTCAAGGTCATCCTTGGCTATGTACTGAGGTCTGACGCTAGCCTGGGCTGCATGGACTCTGTGTCCAAAAATAAATGATAGATATTACCGGTTCATGTACAAGGAATTAGGAAGGACCAAGAATCGTCGTCTTCACATTTCCCCCTAGCGTCTGTGTCTAAAGCTGTCTTTGTTCTTGAGCTTGTCCATGCCTCATGGCCGGGTGCTGACGGGGGATAGCTGGCTGCCTCTTCTGCAGTGCTAGGCTGAGATATTGAAGATGGCTCTTCCACGGATGACAAGAGCTCATGCACGGTTCTGTTAGAAGCTGAGCCACCTTTGGGGGGGGCGCTGTGGCATCCAGACAACATTGCCCATTCTGCTTCTAACAGCCAGGATTTGGGATGGGGCAGGAGTGAGGCAGCCCCACAGAGTAGCAGGGCCGGGTGGGGATGGCAACCCAGGCTCAGAAAGTGGAGACAGGGCATCCGCAGAGCAAGATGGCTAGCAAGGCTCGCTGCATCAGTGAGCTCTGGGTTTGACTGAGACACCCTGCCTCAGTGAAGAGGGTAGAGTAGCAGTCTCGATCTCATTCACCCAACCTTGCACCTCCACAAGCGTGACCTCCTCCAACACGCGCCCATACACTTGCAGACATGCGTATGCACATACACGCCACACAAACATGAAGAAAAGAAAATGCTAGAACAGATATCTCAATAAAACTGTCTTTGGAGTGTGGCCCTTTCCAGGAACACTGATGTCTGACCAGAGGAAATCTAAAGGAAGCAGCAGCCCCGAGCTGTAGAATTTGAGGAATTAATTGTTCTGGAGTCACTGCTGAAGACACCCTGCCCTTCTGAAGTCACCCTGAGTGGCCACCTGTCTCCTTGTTGTGAGGTGATCAGCCATGCTCCACCAGAGGTCCTGTAAATCAGGTTCAAATAGTCAGAGACTGGCAGCCCAGAACAGCCAGACTAGCCTTCTCTTTCTAATTTGATTATCCTTTAAAATGTATTCCTCTGCTTTCTGTGTTGTGTTTGGGGGAGACTCCTGTGACATGGTACACTTGTGGAGGACTTCTGGAAGTCGGTTCTCTCTGTCTACCATGTGGGTCCCAGGCATGGAACTCAGGTCCTCAGACTTGGTGGCTAGTGCCTCTACCAACTGAGCCATCTCCTGAGCCCTAGGCTCATCTAAAATATTTTCTCACAGTTATGGGAAGCATGGCGGACAGCAAACCAATTTAGTTCAGGCTTCTCGACAACGGTGGATTCTGACTGTCCTTGCAAAGGTTGGCTTTCCGTCACTCTGTGGCAATATTCCATGTAACGTGCATTCTTCCCGCCAGCCGCCTGGGTCCCGCAGCTGTCTCAGCCCCCAGATAACACACGCAACACTATATTAATTATGAAGCTGCTGGCCGTTTGCTTAGTTTCTTATTGACTATCTCTGACTTAATTATTAACCGATAACTGCTAATCTGAGTATTTCCACGTGGTTTTCTCTTGCCAGAGAAAGGGTCCGGAGCCCTTACTCCTCTGGCGTCCTATATCGTGACTGACTGTGCCTCTGTTTCCCAGAATCCTTCTCGACTCCTAGTCCCACCTATCTTGCTTCCCTATTGGCCAATAGTGCTTTATTTAATAAACCAATAGCATAGCATATACACAGAAGCACTTTCCCCATCAATACTCCAGCCAGAAGCCCTCAGGGAAGAGTTTATGTGGTGTTAACTCCCAGGTCAGTCCGTCATTAAGGGGAGTCAGAGCAGGATCTGAAGTGGAAACCACGGGAGAGCGTGGCTCACCAGCTAACTCTCTGACTCACACTCAGCTGCCTTCTCCCACCTGCTTAGGAATGGTGTCACCCACAGCGGAGGGGGATCTCCCACAGCCCTCAATCACGACAGCCTCTCACAGAGATGGCCACAGGCCAATCCGATTGAGGCAATTGTTCACCCGAGGTTTCCCCCTTTCAGGAGACTCTAGGTTGTGTCACGTTGACAATAAAAACTAACTGGAACACTCTGCTCCTTGTCAGTGTGATGTGCCAACACACCACTGTTAAACCATAACTGTTTTTTTGTTTGTCTTCAAGATCTCACGTTAAAAATCACAACATAAAACACATATTGATGGGGGAAGTCCTATGTATATGTCAATAAAGCACTGTTGGGCCAATAGGGAACCAAGATAGGTGGGACTAGGAGTCGAGGAGAACTCTGGGAAAGAGAAAACGCAGAGTCAAGATGTAACACCGTGGGGTAGGAGCCCGGAACTATTCTCTGGTAAGAGAAATACTTAGATTAACAATCATGGGATAAATACTTAAGTCAGAGCTAGCCAGTAAGAAACAAGCAAGGCCAACAGCTTCATAATTAATATAGCCTTCTGTGTGTTTATTTGGGACTGATGCGGCTCTAGAACCAGGCTGGCGGGAAGACTTCCCCTTGACAACATATGATTTCAAAAGTCCCCTAGTCTTTGAGAAAACGCCAATGGGTTGAAAGTTCAGCGTCTCTTTAACAGGTCAAAGTCTCTTAACTGTGGCCATCTGTAAAATGAAACAACTTACATCTCTCTTATTCCAAAAGGAGGGAAGAACCGAGGCGTTAAAAACAATCAGATCAAAATCAAAACCCAGCAGTGAAAAATCTCAACCCCAGAGCTCAGAGCCTGGTGTCTTCTGGGCTCCGTGGCTTTGTCATCGGCAGTACCCACCGGGACAGTGCTTCATGGCTGTCAAGCCATCAAGGTGGGGGGTCCCCATGCCCACAGGGGACCTCCAGGCCTTGCATGGAGGACAGTTTTCCTTTCATGGCTTCCTCAGTAGGGCTACACCAACTCCTCCTGAGGTGCTATCTTCGTGAACTGCCCAGAGAGTTCCCCCTGGGGAGCCAGGAGGGGTGCTCACTACTGAAGGAGACAGAGAATGCCTCACCTGCCAATCCTGGCTGCATTGTCACCAGGACTGTATCGGTTAGCTTTTTTCTGACTGGTATATGTGATAACAAACAGCCCCTAAAATTTCTTATCCAATTTCAGGCTTAGTTCTGTGTATACTTGGTTTACTCTTCTTACCTGGGATTCAAGCTGGAGATTTAAGACCTGGTGTCTATCAGGGCAAGCTGGTTTCATGGCAGAAACGGAAGGGAAAGTAAATGGGCTCCGCCTGAGAATTTTTACGGCTTTTACCCAGCAGCACCAAATATCACTCCTGTTCTCAGTTGACTAAGAAAACAATGCGGCCAAGTTCAGCATCAACAGGCCAAGGGAACAGAGTCTACACAGGGAGGGGCAGCTAATAGTCTCATCACTCTTGTGGACTCACTGTCCACTCTCAGACTTGCTGCCCTTCAGGATGTCTCCCCACTGGGACTCAAACGGGCCCTGAAGACAGGGATGCGGTCGTTCTCTCTCAGGTCCTCTCTCCTGCAGACCCTCAGGAGGATGCTTCTCTCCACGGGGAAGACAAACAAAACTGGGCATGGATGGGGGAAGAGACGTCAACTCTCCAGCTCTGAAAGGTCCAAACCGTAAGCTCCAGCTTGGGTCCCGGTTCTGGTCTGCAGCCTAAGGAATGCCAAGGTGACAGAGCTCCTCCCAGCGCTGTCAAGTGGGGCTTGGGGCTGGCATGCTCCGTGCTTTCCCGCCTGCAGCTGGGGCCGGGTCTCTCCTCCGCTGCAGATGCTGCTTGCTTTCTCCGGGATGCCCCTGAAGACTGCAGACAGACTGCTTAGGACTCTCCCCGACACCTTGTTGCTGGCCTGGTGTGCATGCGTGTTCCAAGTCGCCACCGTACGGATTCTTTCCCTCCCGAGGGCCTCTCCTGTCTGTGCCGATGGCCACAGGGGCCTTTGCCACGGTGACGCTGTACGGCTTCTTGAGGAATAGTGAAGAGCAGGAAAATGAGGTCCATCCCATTCTTGCATTTGCCTCTTGGTGTTTGGCCGTTCAGGTTTGTTCGTGTTTAACGGACTGGAGAGCGGGCCTAAGGGAGCACACACCGTCTTGTTGTGGAGGGCCGGGTTCAGTTCCCAGCATCCATATCAAACTGCTCACAACCGTCTGTCACTCCCGCCCAAGGGACTTCTCTGGCCTGTCTGTGCCTTCGCTCACGTGTGAACAGCCACAGAGACACGCGGGCACACAGCTTGGAGAACAATAAAGATGCCACAGAGGCCGAGTGTAGTGGCGCACGCCTGTGATTCAGCACTCAGTGGAAACTTTTGCTGAGTCACTGTCTTCTTTGGTCTGTTGGCCGCTTTGGAAGTTTTAGGGCAAACATAGCTCTGTGGGAAATGAACAGGCGCCGTTAGGTAAATTGCCTGGAATATTGTTCCTTGCTCCCCACTCTGTCCCCAGCTGCATGGCCTGGGCGGGTGACTGGTGGTTCTCACCAGTAGCCACTATTAGTGGCAGTGACACATTAATTGAACCTCACTACTTCCAGGTGTGTGGCACACTCCAGGGTCACCGTGCAGGGGGCTCATGTGTATTCAATTACTGCCGAACTATGAAGGAATGCAACATGTCCTGTTCAAGTGTCAATTACCAGCCCTTACCGGGCTGGCCGCAAACTAAGCCTATTGGCCTCTCTCCCAGGAGCTGCTATGGTATGCAGCCGAGGAGGCGTGTGAATCTCACCGTGGACCCAACGTGTGTTCCAGGCTTGGAGGAAACAGAACCAGACGGGAGGGGCAGGGGTTGGTAGATCCACGCTGTAAGTTCAAGCAGCTGAATCCGTTTATTTCCTGACGGCCGGATAAAGGGACAAAGGATTGGAGTCAGGGAGCCACAGAACGTTGAAGTAATCCCTGAAGGACCCAACCATCTGCCAGGGGCCAGGTGAAATGTGCAACGTTGTATACACTGGAGTTATTACGTGGGCTAATTTGCGACCTTAGCGTTTAAACGCTCAATCTTAGCATTTTTATGTAAAGCGAAGAAAGGCGTAATTGCTTGCAAGTTTTGGCCCCAAACACGCCACAGTTGAGATAATTTGACGATTGAAATATGAAATTCTGCATGAACAATTGAGAAGCAAAGGCTTTCTGTCCCTTCTGGTTCCTTCAGGCCAGCATGCGTCTGTGACCCAGGAGGCTGTCCCAGGAGACTTTCTTTTGGACAGATCTCTCTTTCCTTCCTCCGTTTTCTTAAGGACATTTTTCTTCCAAGCCAGCATGGCTATTATAATTAGTATTTATTACACCGTCTTCCTTCCTCACAGTCCTAGTGAAGAAGCACCTTTCACCCCGTTAGTGCTGCCCTGTATGGAATAAATATTATCCTCCTTCTCCACAGCCACAAAAAAGAGCTAGCATTTCCATTCAAGGTCACCTGACAAATTACTCCAAATGGGAAACCACAGATGTCAGAACTCCTCCGTAGCTCAGGCAGACAGTTGTGTTTTTGCTCTCCGTTCTTCTGTTTCGGGGTGCCGGCAGACCTCCGGTTGACCTCCGTGTTCATCCATCAGTCAACAAATGCAGGCTAAATACCCACTTTGAAATGAGTCCGTTGTAGAACAGAGCTCCTTGGTTGGAAGAGCAAATCAAATTCACCCTCAAAACCATGCAGTGTGTGTCCTGACGAGGGACAGTGGCCATGGATGGTGCCGTTTCATCCAGGGGTTCTTTTTCCTTATGAATTCCTCCTTCTTTGTGTGTTTCTTTTCTTGATTCTTACTCTTTATTGGGGGACAGGATGGCTTGCTCGTTTGTTTGTTTCTTTTGAGACAGGGTTTCTCTGTGTAGCCCCGGCTGTCCTTGAACGTGCTCTGTAGACCAGGCTGGCCACAAACTCACCAAGATCTGCTTATCTTTTCAAAAGAATATTAATTTGTTGTTCTTGTGTTTTGTGTGTGTGTGTGTGTGTGTGTGTGTGTGTGTATGTTTTACACGCCTGTGAATCACTTGCATGCCTGCATGCCCAAGGAATCCAGAAGAGGGCATCAGCCTCCATGGAGCTGGAGTTACAGATTGCTGTGCTGAGGGTCAAGCTGGGGTCCTCTGGAAAAGCAGCTACGGCTTCTAACTTCTAACCTTTGAATCTTCTCCCCAGCCCCCCCCCCCCGCCCTGTCTCTAAACTCTTGCCTCTGAAACTTACACATTGGCTGCCCGTGATTGCAAAGCATCAGAAACTGCTGGATTTTAACTGTGTCAGACTTACAAAATTGGGAATTTCATGCTGTTCAACTTAACTCAAGTCTGCCATGGAGACCTGTACCTTTTGTGTGGTTGTTGTTAAACTGTACAGTGCACGGAAAAGAATTGCCAGGGCTGCAGAGGCGGCTCAGTGAGTGTAAAAAAGGTTTGCCTCATTTAAGCAGAAGACCCGAGTTGATTCTCAGAAGCCACGGGTACAGAGATGGCGGGCTTTAGGACCCACTGGTCCCCCACTGAGGCAGGCCGGCAGCTGAGGGTCAGAAACCCCTGGGGACTGAGGTGTGCTAGGTGTGTCCCATACACTAGAGGCAGTTTGCACTCGGACCTGGCCCCTTAAGTTCCGTTTGAGCCCTCAGTGGAAGGGACTGGCCCCCTGGGCCTTAAAGGAGGAGACAGAAGGTGAAAATGAGCAAGTCTAGGTGGTGTGGATGGAAAATCCCACCGGCCCTACCGGCCTCGCTAGAGCTGGGCCATGGAGGTAGTGAGGTTTCCTTTCACAACGCTGAGACAAAGGGCGTGGGACAAGCAGCAGCCAGGAGGGGGTTCATTGTGGCTCACGGTTGCAGGGGATGCAATCTAGCGAGGCAGGGAGAGCACGGTGGCAGGAGTAAGAGGTTAGCCGGTGGCATGGCACCCACAGTCAGGAAACAGGCAGTGACAGAGTGAGGCTGGGCTCCAAGGGCTTCCAAGCCCACCCCCGGGGGCTCCACCCTTACCAAGGCTCAACCTCATAAAGTCCTCACAACCTTCCCCAATGATAGCCACCAGCCGGGGGGCCAAGTGGCCATGCTGTGAGCCTTTCGTATCTAAGCCATAACAAGCAAGCAGTCTGCATGGGCTGCTCTGTGACCTGGGAGGTCACCTGGGATGGAGACAGGGACTGGCCAACAGCATTCTTAGGAGTAAGTACAAGCCACTGGAGGGAGGGAGGGGCTCCTTCCGTGGAGCGTGTGTGGGATGTTATCTACTTCCGGGTAACTGAGATATGGTTTGAAGGCCTCCTGTTAGGATGCTGAGCTGCCTTTGCTGGCAGGTGAGTCAACCTTGGTAGCATCCCCAGGTGCATTCCACCTTGGTTTTAGGGCAGGGACCTGGGGCTTGCAGATCAGACTAAGCTGGCTGGCTGATGACCCCAAGGGATCCAGCTGTCTTTCCCCCATGCCCACCCTCCCCCAGCGCTGGAGTTCCGGGCTGCCATGTGGTCTCTTCATGCGTGTCCATGTTTGCAAGGCACGCCTTCTCCCAGCCTACTCCATCGCGGTCCAAAGGACAGGAACTCCTGCTGGCCAGTCCTGAGCAGACATGCTGGTCGCATCTGACATCCCGTCAGTGTTCATGGGTGGAAACAGCCTTGAAAGCCGGGGGATCCACCCCCGCTCATGAACATATACTCAGAATGTCCATCCTGTGCATCTGGGGGCTCAGGCAAGGGGCAGGGACAGACCCGGGAGAGAAGCTCCATTGACCACAACGTTACCTCTCTTGGGAATCACCCAAGTCCGGACTTGGGGCTTCACTTACAACTATCTGTCCCTAGTTGTCCCCCTAGAGGCACTGTGGGCACAGTGTCTCCATTGCCGTGGCTGGCAGGAGATCCAGCCTGGAGTCATAAACCCTGTGAGAGCCCCTCCCCCTTGACAAATAACCCAGGGCATGGAGATCATTACGAAGCACATTATTAGGCCAAATTGGATTAATTAACCTCGTCTGGCCTCTCAGCTTTGGAGACAGAAAAAAGCCGGAGTCCAATTCAAATGCAGCATTTTGGAAATGTCAGCCACGACTTGGTGATAAATATTTATAAATATATATGCTGTGTATCAACAGGGTGGCCAGTGTATTTTTACATGTAAGTACACAAAGGCACTCTGTCGTTCACACACATTCAAAGTAGGAGCCTTGAAAGGGCCATTGTGGCCTGAGCTATGAATGTTTATTAAGAATAATATGCAAAGCGGGCCGCCTGAATGGACCCATTGACGGGCATCAGCTCCGCCAGGGCGGGGATGGCGGGTCCTGAGGAATGATAACCATCTACCAACAGGGCCTGGCCCTGGCTTGCGGGAGTGATGTGGTGTGTCAGCCGTCCTTGCCACTTCTGGTGTGGGTGTTTGTTCTGGGAATGTTGACTTGGGCTTGCACACGTCTCGAGACCGCGGCCCTTGGGTTCTGAGTCACGGACCCATGCCAGAGGTTTTCCCCTTGGAGAGAGCTGTAGGCAGCAATTGGAGGTGTAGATGTGCACCCCGGGCTCCTGCTTGTGCTCCTGAGTGGGTCGTTTCCTACCGGCTTCTCCCCTTGATGCTTTTTTTTTTTTTGCTTATTATTATTATTTTTTTTGGATAGACTCTTTTTCAGGATAATTCCTTCAGGGCATTCTGGGATCCTTCCTGGCTTTAGGAGACTTTCCATTCATCGATTCAATCAGCAGTGTGTGTGTGTGTGTGTGTGTGTGTGTCTTTGTGTATGTGTGTGTGTGCGCATGTGTATAGGTACACATGTGTATGTGTGTGTGTGTGTGTGTATGTGTGTGTGTGTTACAGGCACACGTGTACGCAGAGGCCAGAGTATGACCTTGTCCCTTTGGAGCTGTCCACCTTGTGTTTTGAGAGAAGATCTCTAACTTGTCTGGAGCTCACCAATTAGGCCAGCCTGGCGGGTCAATGAACCCCAGACACCTGCTGTCGCTGTCACTCAGCACTGATATCAGAGACACACACCACCTTCCTGTGGCTTTGTTTGTGTTGATGGTTTTTTTTTTTTTTTTTGCTGCCGTTGTTTAGTAGGTTCTGAGGATCGAACTCAAGTCTTTTTGCACACTTGAACCAACAAGTGCTCAACTAGAATTGGATTGAATACCCACTGTCTTCCCAACAGGTAAGGCTAGAGTAAACTAGAGACGTGGTCCCCACTTGTCCCCGAAGAGGAGCCAGGCAAGATTCGAAGCCAGCAAAGAGCACAGGCCACCATGCAGAGGCTTGTGTGATGTTCAAATTAAGCAGGGCTACCTTGGGTAGGGTGTCGGCTGGGCACAGAGTAGGGCGGGTGTCAGGATGAGAACATGGGAAGTAGTTGCAGCAAAGTTTCTGGCTTTCGAGTTGACTGGAGGAAAGGTCTAACCTCTACTGCCTCTGCACAGCCCCAGCTAGACCTTCGGGAAGACGCAGCTCTGACTGCCTCAGGGATAAGGTGAGTGAGGCAAGAGAAGGAGCAGTCGGATGAGAGAGGACGCCCGCCTTGGTTTTGGAGAACGCCAAACGGTTCTCCAAATGTGGGCCCCGTGCAGTCTGGGCTTATTGATGCTAGCACTAAAAATGCTCAGGCTATTAGAGACATTTACAAGGCAGGGATTCAAAGCCACCATTGCTGATTGATTTGCTTAGGAAGGTAGAAACATAGTCCATGGATTTGTGGGAACTCTCTCCAAATCCAGTTTGAGGTTAACAGTGCTCCCTGACATTGCCTCTTTTTTAATGCCCATTCCACGGAGGCCACCAAGACGTTGGTTTCCCTTCAGAACCTCCTTGCCTAGCTTACCACTCAGCATGGTTGCAAGATCAAATTTTAAAAATCAACTTTACTTATTATTCCAAGAATAGTTGACATCAGGATCAATACAGCTGGACAGACACCATTAACATCTTAATGAGATGCTGGGTAATATTCTGACGCCTCGTCGATGAGTCACGGCCCCTTTGATTAAAGATGCACGTTAGAGGCAACTGTAAACACATTCAAGGAAGGCCAAGAGCCGAGAGCTGTCACCCATCAATCCCAGGAAGAGGAGTGAGGCTTCATGAATAAAGAAACTCACAAGGTGTCTGTCCCTGGGCTGTAACCTTTTAAAATGCCATTGGTCTCCACTAAGTGACAAGCACACATCCACCCATCAGCTGTCAGGTGTGTGAATTGGGGGCAGGGAGGGTGCGCCACGGATAGAGGGGAGAAGAAATGCCTACTCAGCTCTTTGGAGAGTTAGACACGGGTACCAGGACGGGAAGGGTAACACTCGGGAGGGAGGAACAAAGTCAGAGATGGGGGAAGGTACCGAGAAGGAAGGACTGGGACAGCGGGATGACATCCTCAGCCAAGTGCTGAGTGCCAGGACACACACACACACACACACACACACACACACACACACTCACACACACACACACTCACACACACACATAGACACACGCACACACACAGACACACACACATAGACACACACACACTCACACACACACACATAGACACACACACTCACACACACACATAGACACACACACACTCACACACACAGACACACACACACTCACACACACACATAGACACACACACACTCACACACACACACACATAGACACACACACACTCACACACACACATAGACACACACACTCACACACACACACATAGACACACACACACACAGACACACACACACACACACACACACACACACAAAAACCATCAGTAACTGTGGCTGCCTCTTTCTTCATCCAACTTCCGTCAACCCTAAAACATCCAGATGTGCTCCAAAGGCAGCTTCGACTGCGTAGAATAAGAGCCCCTTCTCTGGGAGGTCTTTGAAGGCAGTGTCCTTCTGGGTTGGTGCTGTGGAGGAGCCAGGACAAGAGCCAGGACAGACACAGACCCCATGCTTTTTGCCCTTGGACTAGATGTTGGCTTGGAGGACAGGGAGACTGGGGGAGACGGTAGGACATAATCTTTATCCGTCATCCTTCCAGGTCTCGGGCAATGAGCCACATGGCTCATGAGTCAGGACATCGGAGATGGTGGGCTTCAGGAACTTGAATCTGGGTCAGAGAGAAGTGGTTGATGGGTGGGGGTGGACCGGCATCCAAACGGAAGTCTGTGCCCCAAAAGGGAAAAAAAGATTGGCAGTGGTGGCTACACAGCTCCAATATCAGCACTTGGGAGGCTGAGGCAGGAGGATCATGAGTTCCAGGCTAGCCCGGGCTAGAGAAAGACTTTGTCTTTCAAAAAGAGAGGAAAGGAAGGAGGGAGGGAGGAAGAAGGGGAAATTAGGATGGTTTAGGGAAGGACGTAGCTCAATTGTCTAAGCACTGTGTTCCCCCAGTGTGGACCCTGCGGATGTTAACGCGTCTGAGGGCAGAAGAGACCAGCGTCTTCGTTCCCTCTGCCCCGTCTTCTTCATCACAGACAGCAGGCCTTGACGTGTAAGTGCTCCAGCTCAACCCTGAACATCTGTCTACTGGCTGGGACACGCGGTGAAGGCCAACACTCCAGCATCACCGAGCTCAGTGTTCACAAACTGTGAGTATAGTGTGGTTTCCTCGCAGAGCTGTGATGCCAGCCTGAAGAGATGGGATGTGTGTTAAGCCCTCGCCGTAAATGCCCACAATCGCCACACACGCATTCACGTGTGCATACCCCGACACGCAGGCACGTATACGCCGGTGACACTGGGCTGCTCTTTGGTGTCAGTGGACCAGGGCAAGCCCCGTATGGGGACAGATGGGTGGCAGCTGTCATGTTCTCTATCTATACAGACGCTCCTCAATTTAGGACGCCAGATTTGTAGTTTCCTAACTTCGTGATGGCGTGGGTTGCTACTTATCTGCAACTCATCTTGGGTGGATGCTGTCTGAGACACTGGAGTCAGCGAGCATGGGACTCCCTGTTGGCCATAGAGCTACGAGGTCGGGTAACCGGTGTACTGTGTGTGCTGCTAATATGGGGTGCTCATAAGTGAGGGGGTACGGTGGACATCTTGACTGGCAGTATTTTCAGCTTATAATTAATTGATTGGCATGTAAACCCACCGTGAGTGGAGGAGTTACTGCCTGCATTACTTTTCTCTTTGTAAAATCTATTTATTTATATTATCTATCTGAGTCAGTGTCTCCAATATCCCAGGGTAGCCTTCAACACTTTTTGAACTTCTGGTCCACCTGCCTCCACTCTTTGAGCGCTGGGATTACAGTCTTCTGTCCCCACGCTCCGCTAATGAATGGGGCGCTGGGGCTCGAACCCAGGGCTTCGCACTCGCTAAGTGTGCTCTACTACCAGCTGCGCTCTGCGTCCTCAGCCCCAGCACTGCCTTTCTCAGAGCTGGAGAACAGCGGGGCTGACAGACAACCCACTTCAGTGACGCGTCCCCTCCTGTCCGAAGCGACAGCTCATCAATGGGTTTCTCCGGTGCTTTGAACTTAGACAATATTTGCTGAATGTCCGCCGCGCGCTCTTTGTGCATCTGGCACCACGGAGGGCGAAGCCGACGTAGAATAGCTCTTCACCCAAACGTCCACAGAAGCTGGAGGTCCTCAGCCGTGAAAACGCCAGCAGTTCCTGAAAGACGGAGACAACCCCCAGATTGCAAACAGGACCCAGAAAAACAGGGCACAGGGGCAGCTGCCCCCAGAGCCAGGGTTTGAGTGCTTCCTACAGCGGATAAAACTGTAGGGCATAAGAACAGGGGTGCTGGAGCTAAGACCCTGTGCATGGTGCTAAGAGCCCCCCCAAAAGCAGCACCATCTGTGAATGGGGAAAAGGTCCTCGGGAGAAGCTGGGACTTCAAGCATAAGCCAGGGGTGTTTGTAAATTATAAACCATCAACTGCGTGGCACATTTTATTTTTCGAGGCACTGGGGGTTGCACTCAGGGCCTCCCACATCCTAAGTGAGCTGATGAGTAAAGTCTTAAGTCTGACAGTTTCCACCAGCCTGGGCTTGGGTTGGTGTGGCCACTTCACAGAGGGCAACGCAGACCTGGCCCAAAGGGACGTTTCTGCAGCCTAGGCCACAAAGGATGCCCCCGGAGAACAGACCCCAGATTCAAGGGGATCTCATGACAACGATGCGCATGGATAGAGACACGGCCTCAGGAGGGCCCATCAGTGGACAGCTACAGTGGGACAGAGAAGGCACTGGGCCCGGTGGTGGGTCCTGGAGGATGTCTGGAGTTACAGTCCTGCACAGTCCGCTCAGCAGCTGGCTGTGACCTCTGATTCTAAGGGTAGGGGTGGCAGGAGAAGGTCTCTTCGAAGTAGCAGAGACAAAGGGTGACAATAATCTGGCCAATGGCTGTCAAGGCCCATAAAGAGGGCTCTGCTTCATCTTGGCTCAAGGTCAGAGAGTTCGAAACTGTCCCTAGTAAGTCACAAAACCTAAAGGTCTAAGGCTTGGCTACTGCAGGATGTCTTACCTAAATAACAACAGACTTGGGCTGAGGTGTGGTTACTCTTGACCCTCTGGGTCAGCTAACAAGAAATTGAGTCTGAGGTGTGGTTACCAAATGCTTGGGGAGTTAAGGAAGAAAGTCTGTTTATTCCTGTGTACATGATACCATGTTCCCTCTTTTGGTTGGGATATTTATGAACATTGAAGAATAAACTTGGGGCATCCATGTTCACTGGATTGCCCTCCTGACTCTATCCCGTGCCTCTGTCTTTTCCTTACACGTTTTTATCTGCCTTTTCTCAGTCCACACTCCCTCTCTCGGGTACGAACCGGGCTGGATCTGACCGAAGCCCCACCAAGACAGGCACAGATGGCTCCAACAAATGGCTGATTCCCACGAGTCACAACTGACAGCTACTGTCTCTGTCCAGTTTTCGTTGCATAGCATCTAACATGCCATGTCATTCTTCAGACTGAAGAAGTCGTCCATGCCATTTGTCCCCATCACAGATGTGGCCTGGAGGGGTGGACTGGGGCTTTCCCCGAATAGCTGCTATGATTGGCATGTTCTGTATGGCCAGGGAAGTCAGCAGGCACCAGATCCCAGCTGGGTGAGGTATCAACATGACAACTGCTCTCCTGCCTGTGCATGGATTCCTGTATCTGCACACGTGTGCACAGGCTCCTGTATCTGCACACGTGTGCACGGGCTCCTGTATCTGCACACGTGTGCACAGGCTCCTATATCTGCACACGTGTGCATGGGCTCATGTATCTGCACTCGTGTGCACGGGCTCCTGTATCTACACACATGTGCACGGGCTCCTGTATCTGCACACGTGTGCACAGGCTCCTGTATCTGCACATATGTGCATGGCTCTTGTATCTGCATGCGTGTGCATGGACTCCTGTATCTGCACATGTGTACACGGGCTCCTGTATCTGCACGCGTGTGCATGGCTCCTGTATCTGCACATATGTTCACGGCTCCTGTATCTGCATGCGTGTGCATGGGCTCCTGTATCTGCATGTGTGTGCATGGGCTCCTGTATCTGCACTCGTGTGCACGGGCTCTTGTATCTACACGCATGTGCACAGGTTCCTGTATTTGCACATGTGTGCACAGGTTTTTGTATCTGCATATACACCTATACACCACATATCTTAGTGTTTCCATTGCTGTACAGTATGACCACAGTGACTCTTTTTTTTTTTTTTTGGTTTTTGGAGACAGGGTTTCCCTGTGGCTTTGGAGGCTGTCCTGGAACTCGCTCAGTAGACCAGGCTGGTCTCGAACTCACAGTCATCCTCCTGCCTCTGCCTCTCGAGTGCTGGGATTAAAGGCGTGCGCCACCAACGCCTGGCCGACCACAGTGACTCTTACAAAGGAAAACATTTTACTTGGGGCTCACAGTTTCAGAGGTTTAGTCCAGTATCATGGTGTAACATGGCGTGCAGGCAGACCTGGTGCTGGAGAAGGAGCTGAGAGTCCTACATCTGGATCCGCAGGCAGCAGAAGCAACTGAGTGTAGTTTGAGAAAAGGAGACCTCAAAGCCCGCCCCCACAGTGACACACCTCCTCCAACAAAGTCACGCTTACTCCACCAAAGTCACACCTCCTAATAGTGCCACTCCACGCCTGTGTGCATGTGCATGCTTGCACACACACACAAATGCATATAAATTGAAGATAACCTTTAACCTTTATAACACGGGTATTTATGGGGTGGAGTATTGATATTTTGGTATGTGTATATAATGGGAATTGGTAACAGGATAGTCAAATGACGACAGTGAACATCTCTCTCTTTTGTTGTTTTGTTTTTGTTTTTCAAGATAGGGTTTCTCTGGGTAGCTATGGCTGTCATGAAACTCACTCTGTAGACCAGGCTGGTCTTGAACTCACAGAGATCTGCCTGCCTCTGCTTTCCCAGTGCTGGAATTAAAGGTGTGAGCCACGACTGCCCAGCAAGGTTTCATACTTCTTAGCCGGGTGGTGCTGGCGCACGCCTTTAATTCCAGCACTCGGGAGGCAGAGGCAGGTGGATCTCTGTGAGTTCCAGGCCAGCCTGGTCTACAGAGCGAGTTCCAGGACAGCCTTCAAAACAATACAGAGAAACCCTGTCTCAAAAAACTAAAAAAAAAAAAAAAAGATTAAAGCTAGCGTGGTGTTCCACAATGTCAAGGTAACATGCTTTCTTTATCCACTCATTCAAGGGTATGTGGGTTGGTTTTATATTTTAGATATTAGAAGTAATGCTACCATAAACCTGGGGTGCAAGATGTATTTTCAGCATACTGAGTCATTTCCTTTGGAAATGCATCCCGTAGAAAGTAGGACTGTTAACTCATATTGTTTGTGAATTTTTTGTTTATTTTGCTTTGTTTTTCACAACAGGGTTTCTTTGTATAGCTCTGGCTCTCTTGGAACTTGCTCTGTAGACCAGGTTGTCCCTGAACTCAGAGATTGCCTGCCTCTGCCTCCCAAGTGCTGGGATTAAAGGCGTGCCACTATGCCTGGATTTTGTAGTTGAATTTTTAAGAGCAATTCTCATATTGCTTCCATAATGTCTGTGGTAAATACATTACCATAGAGAGTATGTAAGAATCCTTCTTTTTCTACCTCCTCACTGGTACTTGTCAGTTCTTTTCTTTGATGCCAATTATTCCTTGCTTTCTCTGTTTCCCTCCAAAACTTCAGCCTCCATTCTCCATGCCTCTCTCAACACGGTCCTCCAAGTAGTCATAGAGCACTTCATTAAGCTCTGTTCGCTTCATAGCTTTTCCAGCCCAAAGTTGTAAGCACCTTCATAATCCTTCAAAAAAGAAACACAGTCAGCATACCCCACTCCTGGTACTAATTCCTGTCCTAGCTGGGTTTCTGTTGCTGTTATAAAAGACTGACAGAAACCAATTTTGGGGGAGGAAAGGGTTACAAATCTGGCTTATAAGACTAAAGACCTCCATTGAGGGAAGCCAAGGCAGGGACTGAAGCAGAGACCATGGGGGAATGCTGCCTACTGATCTGTTCTCCTTGGCTCACATCACCCAGAACCACCTGCTCAGGGACGGCACTGGTCTCGGTAGACTGGGCCTTCTTACACGAATCATCATCAGTCAAGTAAATCCCCTCCAGACTTGTCTACAGGCCAGTCTCATGGGGACAGCTCCTCAACTGACTCGTCCCTCATCACAGATGTCTATCTTGTGTCAAGCTGACAAAACACAAGAACAAGACAACAACAAAAGCAACCTAACCATCACAGTGTCCTGTAAATGGAGTTCTTGATTGGTCTAGGTAATAAAACCCGGAGTTAGGTAGAGAGGAAAATGCTGAGAGATCAGAGAGATCAGAGAGAAGGAGCAAACCACCGCCACACCTCACCTCCTTAGCGTCTCAGCAGATGAGAGGGCGAGTTCCTGCCTCTCCCTGACTATATCCTGTTTCCACCCAGCCATCTCAGTTCCTGTCTGTCTGTGCAGACCTCCAGACCTCTAGGGTTAGCTAGTGGCGAGCTCCATTCTCTGACCCTCCGACAGGCTTTATTTGTACAAGTGAGACGCCACCATGGTGTTCTTGTTTGATCTTCTTTCTGCGTTGTATTCATTTCATCTTTCTCTTACCTCACTGCTCTGACTGGAACTCCCACGTCAGTGCTGGATATCAGTGACAAAAGCAGGCACTTATCCTGGATCAGGTTTTTCTTACTTAGTACGGCGTTGGCTGTGCGGCATGGCTGTATAAGGTGTTCACTGTGTGCTGAGGTATATTCTTTCTGTTCCTAATTCTGGGAGAGTTTGAGTTATCATGAAGGATGTATATTTTATCAAATGGCAAGAAAAACCTTCTTACTAAGGCCCATTGGTGTGTGATCCTACGGACACGAATTTGCAGTTTGGGCCCCCTATACCAGATGTGACTTCTAATCCTTAAAACTTATTATCAAAAATGTAGAAGTATGTGTGTCTTATCACACAGCTTCCAAGCAATAAAAAGATCCAAGGCCTGGATACTTTCAGTTTGCAAGGTGTGTGTGTGTGTGCACGCCTGTGTGTTGAAGTTAACATAAGGCAAATCAATCATTTTAAGGTAGACAGTGACATTTGGTAGCATCACCGTGTTGGGTAGTCAGTCCTGTCTACTTCAGTTAGAGAGTACTTGCACCATCCACAGGAACGAAGAACTCTTCAAATAGTTTATTCCTACACCTTCTGCCCTGCTCTCCAACCCCAGGCAGCCACCAAGGTGCCCTATGTCTCTATGGATGTGTCTTGTGGGTGTTTCATAGAAATGAAGTCAGCATCACAATATATCACGCACATTACATACATGTCTACATCCACATTGTCCCAAGTATCAGAATTCTGCTGTTTGGGGCCTTTGTAGTATTCTGTCATATGGACATGTTGTATTGGGTGTTTGCTTTTCTTTAAAAATTTTTCTATTTTAGTTGGCTTGTGTAAGTGTTTTCCCTGCGTGCCTGTCTGTGCTCCACCGGCATGTGTGGTGCCCACAGAGACTAGAAGAGGGCCTCTGATGCCCTGGAACTGTTGTGACAGATGGCTGTGAGCTTCCGTGTGGGTTCTGGGACCCGAACCTGGGTCCTCTGGGAGAGCATCAAGCGCTGTTAACACTGAGTCATCTCTCGAGGCCCCGTGTGGAGTCTTGACCCTCTCGACCCAAGCAAAAGCGGAAAAGTAAAGCTGGAGGCAGAGATTCTGAAGCCCTAAGATCACCAGTGAGCACCCCTGGGGTGCGCTCCCACAGCAACTTATTTAGGGAGTTCTACTGTGCTAGAATTCCTCACTCAGTCTCCTGGGGCAGAAGAACCATCGCTTAAGCTCTTTTTAAGTCTGTTACTAATTTGATTTCACTTTGACAATGACATTTTTTGAAGCTTGCTCAAAATTTCCTTCCTCGATCTCAGTCTCCTCCTGGCTCCCTCCAGGGTCACCACCCTCTTCCCCGCTCTGGTCCCCAGCTCTCTCCCAGGGGTCACCACCCTCCCACTGGTAGGAAGTGTTTCCTGTGCTGAGTAAACGCTATCAGATGACATGGTGCGTGCGTGCGTGGACCCCCTTCCTCTGCCCATGTGAAAGACGAACCCATCCACCCCCTCAGGGTTAACGAGACAGTCATCCAGGCCGTCTCGTGTTTTCTTCTGACGGGGAAAGGTGAATGTGCGCTTGTGGTAAAGACAGACTCGTGGATGGATGGGTTTGCACAGGGAGGTGTCTGTTCAACCCTGGAAAG